AAAATATTTCCTTTGGAAAATGTTGCACTGTTTTTACCTTCTTAGCTTTGCTCTCCAAATCATTTTGAACGGATGGGGATTATTCTGAGGAGTTGCTTTGCATAACAGCCATATAGAATGACATGTTAATGTCATTGCCAAGACAGAGCAAACAATGTGAGAGCCAGATTTACAAATGCTTTGTAAGTTGCTTCCATAGTGTAAGTCTGAAACCTAATAGATTACTACTTATGCCATGGGAAAATCCCGTGCACCCATACAATTGCTGCCATATAATTGTTCACATTTTGCGTGTTTTGTAAGCTTGGTTGAATTTTTCTTCCTGGAAAATTTGCCCTGAAGTGTTAATAGTGCTTAAGTAAGTCTATAGACTCTGTCCATTGACTTCAGTTGTGTAACTGCCGTTGGTAAGAGAGAGACTGTCCGCTGCAGGTTTGGCGTAAAGCTTTAAGAAAATATTTCGCTCCATCAAAATTCGGCAGGTTTTCAAATCTTGGAATACTTCATGTCACAAAGAAGAAGGTGTTTGAAACTCTGGAAACACGCATGATAGACGCTTGCAAAAAAGGATACAACCCGGGACTCCTGGTACATCCTGAACTTGGCTATCTGCAGGCAGAAGGCTGTGGAGACAGACAGCTAACTGGTATGTAGAAATGATGGCCTGGTTTTAATAGGTCTTTTACTAAAAACAGGTTTAGCTTCTAAAAACACAAATTCTTAGCCAGAAAAAGGCCTTGGGCAGGACAACAGCCTGTGGCTATGTGCTTTAAGAGGTGGTGTGTTGTTGCTGGGTTTTAGGGAATCTGAAAGAAAGAGTCTTTGCTGTCAACACATACATGAGAATGGAGCAACTTCCTTCTATAGCTGCCTGTACCCACCTCTGCACCTATATTTCATTGCTCTTACCCTGTTTAATAAGCTGATAAGTAGAGACATTTTGCATTATTGCTACAAGACATGATATCCTTGAGTAACTTGGGACCTTCTTTTGAGAATATCTGTTTCATTCACCTGCATTTCACCCATATCACTGTAAAACCTGTGCTCTATGTTGCTTTCAGGCACTGTATAGATGCATTCAAATGTCCTTAGTGGTGGCCTTTGTCCTTTTTGCAACCTTTATAAATTGAGAGCAGAAAATAGTAATTCTCTGTCTGTCTCTTAATTATATGCCTTAAATAACATCTGATGTATAAACTGCAAGATGAATGCAGTATATTGTGAATAGCTGCTCCTCTCCGCTTAAAAAGAGAGACACCAATAGATACTAACTGCAAAGGAAAACATTTCCTCGCTGTTGATGCCTTTTGATAGCAATGTTTGGGAAATGCTGTCTCAGTTTTGTTAAGGGTCCTCTACCCCTTGTGTTAATTCATCTGTCTACTTACTGGTTCCAGAACGAGAAAGAGAAATTATTCGTCAGGCAGCAGTACAGCAGACTAAAGAAATGGATCTCAGTGTGGTGCGTCTTATGTTTACAGCCTTTCTCCCTGACAGTAATGGCAGTTTCACACGGAAACTTGACCCTGTTATATCAGATGCGATATATGACAGCAGTAAGTATATTTGGCTTTAATTACTTTTTTAATAAAGGGCAAGCTTTTGTACATACAAAAATGATGTATAGGTACTGCTGTACGTAGACTCAGCTAGCCTTGCTGCTTGCCTGTTGTTTCATCAATAACAAGTAACTCATGCATAATTGGCCCCATGTCTATCCAAGAACACATGGTATCATTCTGATTTTTAATAGATGGTGATGTAAGCCGTAAAGGAAGATTTTATTTTGCTGTTAGCGTGTTTAATCCTGCCACTTTTATTATGAGGATTTTGTAAATTCTTGTTAATTCATAAGAAGTGCTTGATTTTTGCATTTCAATCACAAAGCCTTGTCACACAAGATGTGAGGAAAAAATTATTTTGCTTCAGTCCTGTGGAGAATTTGACACCTTTCAGTTTTGCTGGCCACCTGCTTGTCCTTGTTTTGTGAGACTAACAAAACCAGAGTTCTCAAACCATTTCCTTTAGACCTGTCAGTATTTTTAATACTTGTGTTACATCCCTCTATTTGTCCTTTTTTCCTAAGTGAATCTTTTCATGTCATGTTTTCCCTTCTGCTTTTCGATCATACTTATACATCTTACCTGAACCCTTTCTGTTGCCTGAGTTTTCCTCTCTGTAGCTGCAGATTACCATGTTCCTGATAGTCATTCTGTAATGACTCAGAAAAAGTACCATTTTTTTTTTCTTTCTGTAACAGTCACATTTACATCATGGCTTTTTAAGGACAAAGTCTAGATGAAAAGGTATTAAATGCTCCTGTTCTAATGTAGTCTGTTGCTTGCTGCTGAGGAATGTAGCAGTTAGCGCAGCCATTTTGCATATATTCACTGAGTGAAAAAACGTGATGTCTGCTGTTCTGATGGCACACATGACCTGCGTTTTCTGGATGAGAAAACATAATCTTTTTGTGTGGAGACTGAGGTGGTTTACCAAGCAGTGTCTTTAAGGAATCTTGATTTTTCATTAGAAACACTTAGAGATTCCATTGGTTTTCATTACTCTCTATCACACCTGCATAATGACAGAGAGTATTTGTAAAGCAAAGAGAAGGAGGAGGACAAAGCCTCAACAGAGGCAAAGCATGTATCACGCCCTACATGTAAAACCAGTTGAAGTCATCCTGTCCTTCTGAATCTGGCCATCAAAATTTCGACTCCAACTAAGGAGACGAATAGAGGGGAGATTTTGTATGCATGTTTCTGCTGTTTTAAGTTGCTACGTAGATGTCAGTTACTAGTTTCTGAGCTCCCAAGGCAAATTCTTGGTTGTTAGTTCCAAACGATTTATCTTGGATTTTGGTTGTTTCTGATACTCTTAATGGGCACCATTCAAGCCTCTTCCACAGAGCAGACACAACTTGTGGTAGCATAACTGTCTGTCACAGCTGCTTTTACGTATCAGATGGTAGTTCTGCCTTGAGGACCAACAGGTGTCCGTTGATGTCTCTACTAAGATCCATGGAGATGGGTTTTTTCATCATAGTCGAGTATGTTGGCCAAGGACTGACAATGCTTTCAAGTAAGCTACAGTGTAATGCAAGGCATTGTGTGTCGCATTCAAATACTGAGATACAGGGAACAGCTCTCAAGAGTGTCATGCTGCCAAGAAAGCAGGGAAGAAAAAGTTATGTTCTCTTGTAACACACTCTTGTCATAAAGTCAGTACTAGTGCAGAGTGCTGGATACAATTCACTGCTGTACTACTTTACCAGTGCAGTAATTGTGCTGGAATGGCCAGTGCCTTATTTTATAGTTCACAGTTCAGTCAAAGCTTAGAGGGTACAAGATTATGCCTTTCAGATGAAAAATCTTTGATCTATTTGTGTGTAAAAAAAACATGAACAGATTTAGGTAGGCTGTATTGGAGGCTTGTATTTCTGTTGCATTTCTGTATGTTGTGCTTGTTGGTTTTGTTTTTAAATATAAAACTATTATGAAGGTAAGTGTTTTTTTAATCTTTCCTTTCAATAGAAGCTCCCAATGCCTCCAACTTAAAAATTGTAAGAATGGACAGAACAGCAGGGTGCGTAACAGGAGGGGAAGAGATTTACCTTCTCTGTGACAAGGTTCAGAAAGGTAAGAGTATTGTAAGGCACACCAGGGTGTTCATCTGGAGTACACATAAAGCCTGCTGTGCTGCCTTAGTATTCTCCTGCTCTGATAGTGCAGCAGCATTTGTAGGCCCTCAGCCTTTCTGGAAGTCAGGCCAGCAGTCCAGAAAATGAATAAATCAAAATAGTCTGTTGCAAAACATATTCAGCTTGTGTTGCCTCCACAGAGACTATGTGATCATCTTTGTTCTTCTCAAATTTCTGCCCTTGCCCATGTTCTAGATTTTTTGTGGGTGGTGGGTCCTGGGTGATGTTTGACTCCGTTAAAACTAACATCTGCTCTGAATGATTCTAACGTTTTTGATTTATGATTAAGTTCCTGATTATAAAGAGTAAGTACGAGCATTCTCTTATTAACCACTGATGGGAACTGAATGTGTTCAACACTGCTGCTAACTTCATTTTTATGTGTATGCTAATGGTAGTGATTACTCAGTGTACACAGATACTTCTCACAGACTCACTTTGGTAATTTCTGCTCATGGATATGAATGTGTCAGGATTGGTCAGTGTGGATTTCGGTGCTTTGTTTTTAGATAGGAAGATAATGGTTATTATGGTTGGTTGTAGTATTTGGGATGAAGTAAAAAGAAAAAAATAGGAGTGAGGGAAGTCCTTTGCATCTTTCAGCTATAGGTAACACCTGGGACTCCCTGGTGCAGATTGCATGGTGCAATGGGTGCCCTGTTCTCACCTGTTTGGAATCAGTCCTTGCATATGTTGTTGAAGTCACAGTGAGATTTTCTGTCAATACAGGCTGTGCTTTTCTACCTCTTTTTCTTGCAAATATTTTTCTACCACTTGGGAAAGAGAGAGGGCTTTGGGGGCTTTTAGGGGCTTTGAAAAAAATCTGTTTTCCTTCAGTAGTGTATATACCCTCTGCTATCAGAAGGACTGAGATAAAACATAGCTCTTGTGCACAAAATAAATAAATGCCTGACTCAGTGGAAGCCCTGAGGTGGGGTTTCCCCTCAGCTGGATTGGGGTTTCCCCTGACCTCATTGCTCTCGGAAACCTCTTGCCTGAAGGAACTTGAGCGTGCAGGACAGCAGGACTGGAAGTGGTGGTTCACAGTCTTGAGACTAGCAGGTGGTGGATCAGAGGAAGCAGTCTGTCTGCTCCAAAAAGCCCGTCCTCCGTCAGTCGCCCTAAGAGAGAATAGACTTTTTCTAGTTTTTTCTCACCGGGAGTGCTGGGCTAGGAATATGGTAGTGTGACATTTCCCAGGTGCTTCTAAATAAATAAATAAATAAATGCAAAGAGAAGGAAAGAACATTTGTTTAGAGGAGCAGAAGGCAAATCACAGGTTTCTACTCCGTGCTGTGTTTGGGGAGTGAGGGATCACTGCTGATGTGCTGCTCCCTCACACCCTTGCCGTCTCTCTGAGCCGCCGCTCCAAAGTGGCACTCTGCCAGCAGCAAGCGGAACTTGAACTGTGGCACTTCAGGTTTTGCTACAGTTTTTTGAACTGAAACTGTTGGAGGAGAGAGGGTGGTTTCTACGTTTCACGCTTCAAGTTCTCCCCTCCCTACATGTTTGTTCCAAATAAAGCTCCTCTGGAATGCTTTATAGCCCTAGAATAGGAAGAGGTAGTGAACCTAGTTCTCCTTTTACTGCTCAGTAAATAGAGAGCAACGTCACTGAAGTCATTAGAGTTAGGCTGATCTAAAATTGATGTCAAAAATGGGTTATTTATGATGTCTTCATAAAATGGATAAAGATATTTCATGTATTATTCAGGTCTTATTACCATCCAGCCAAAAAGTAACCATGTTGATTTTTTTTTTATCTGAAATAAACTTAACCAAAGGGTAAACAAATTCACAAACATCCCAAACGGTAAACAAATGCACAAACATCCCAAAGAGTGTTTCTTTTACTCTTTGCAGACGATATTCAAATACGTTTCTATGAAGAGGATGAGAATGGTGGTATGTGGGAAGGCTTTGGAGACTTTTCTCCTACAGATGTGCATAGACAGGTAAGTAAACAGAGCATTTGTCATTTGTTAAGGATTTTCTTATTTCTGTTAACTAGGATTACATTATAATTAGTAAATTAGGTGAAAGCATCTGTATCCTGTACTAACCTCTTCTTTTGTTGGTTAGTCCTGATAATAATCCATTCTTAACTGTTCTTTAAAGATGTACGTTAGGTGACTAGGCAGGTTACGAATACAGTGCGAGGACATTGGGAGATAGACCCATTGCTTTATTGTGAACCAGTGTAAATTGGAATGGGATATACAAAAAGCTCTCAGAGCTCCTGTGAGCACAGTGAGAAAGCCACAGAATAGATGCTAAATGATGAAGGGACAAACAGTGCAGTACTAACATATGTGATGTGGTGATACTCTGCATGGCAGTTCTGTCTTTCCCAAAAGGCTTTAGGACATGAACTCAAAAGTACAACTGAGAACTAAAATGGAAGTTTATTGTTGTAGCAGCCTTTTGTTAAGAATTTGGCCTCCCAAGCTATGAACCAACTCCTACAACATAACCCAAATGTAACAGCAAAGCTGTCAAAACCCATGCTTTATGATAGATGTGCTTATCATTGTTTCCTTCGCAGTTTGCTATTGTGTTCAAAACACCAAAGTATCGAGATGTCAATATCACAAAGCCAGCATCTGTATTTGTACAGCTGCGTCGGAAATCTGATTTAGAAACAAGCGAACCAAAGCCTTTTCTCTATTATCCGGAAATCAAAGGTAATTCATTAAACCTGTTTTATATATTGGAAATGAAAACTGCAGGGTCCCTGGGAAAGTTTTTAATAAGATAGGACTTTTTGGATGAGAGGTTTTTTCCTTGTAATTGTTATTTTTAGAAAACAAGATATTTGCCTCCTTGTTTTGAGCAGAGCTAATATAAAAGGTGGTAGTTCTGTAATGGGTTTGTAGGATTTTTTGTTGGGCTGGTAAATCTGTGAGCATTTTCCTAGCGAGGCTTACTCCCTGCAAGTTTCCGATCTGCATGCATGCCTGGCCGTACAGTAGATGGCACTCTCTTCCTCTGAGTTTCTGCAAATTAATATCTGAGGACATTTTGCTGTCAGTACTTTCAGATGAAACCTTAAACCAAAGATTGATTGGTATCTAGTGGAAAAAGTACGTATTTTGCAGTTCTCTCCTTTTACCATCATGCCACACAATTTCGCTGATGTTTTTGAATTTTCCAATTGCCTGAGCTAGTTAAGTAAGCCCAAGGCACTTCTTGTGAGAGCAGGGGAAAGTGCTGTTTCAAGCTCTTATGTTAAAATGTTAGTCGCTTAGTGGAAGTAGAAGAGTTGGCATCAGACCTGCTTCCTATGTTGTTACTGAAAAGAAGTTTAACTAGTAGATCTGTGCCCTTTACAGTCTACATTTGAAATGTTTGACATGAATGGCAGCGGCAGTCGTGGTTTTAAATATCAGTAATGTTAACGATATGGAAATGCCTTGAGGTCCAAGTCAGAATTGGTGTTTTGTTGTACTAAGACAATCTTTCTGCCTGACAGTCTACCTACCTATATTACTAAGTCCTAATCTTGCACATTTTCAGTGCACACCAATACCGTGTCAGAATCTCTAAACATGTGTGTGTCTGTGGTAATGGGACTAAAGACAGCTGAGGAGAAGGGTGGTTGTTGACATCCAAGTGAGTCTCCTTTACACTTATTATTATAAAGTAGCAAAAAGCATCCATTCACAAAAACTTCTAGAGTTGCTAGAGGATTTTGTATAGGAAATTATTGAAGTGAAGTGTACGACTGTAGAGCAAAGTTGCCAAATATGAAGCAAACCTCTTCTATGTGCCTCTTAATGGAGTAAACAAAATTCAACATTGTTATGTGCAATTTCAGACCCCCTATACAACCTAGTTGTGATATTACCATTTAGGAACTGTTTTTTTCCCTTGTTGTAAGTGTTCACACAAACTTAGACCTATGTACATGGATTTTTTTGTTTGTTTCTCTGACTAGATCGCTTTCTAGAGTTTTCTCTCCTCATTAGTGTGAGTATGGCTGGTGCGTGCATGCGTACATACTTACGGATCATGTATGCCTGGGAATAATGCACTTGCACTTGTATTTTTCAATATTCTGTTTCATGTATTCAGCTATCTCATTTGATGCACTGACTGATGTGCCTGTGCATGAAATTTCTTTTTGTCATATGGCTGTTGAAAACTACTAGATCGTTTAATGAATGAAGGATATTTTGTTCTTTTCTCAACAGTTCTACTGGATTTTAACCCCTGTAATGTTTGTATCCCTATTTTTGTAGCTCTTGTCATGACATTTTCACTTTCCCTAGTCACTGGGATACTTCTTTTAAATATTTGTTTTCCTTTCCAGGAGGGCTAAGTATTATTTGGTACTCACACTATAAAATATTTAGGCTTTTTTTCCTACTGCTGCTCAGCATGGTTTGACAGTATTATGTCCTGCCTGAAAATAAGCGATCTTTATTCTGGTGGCTTTTCTGGTATTTCAAGTAAATCATTTCAAGCAAATGTTGTTTTCACCATTTCTCGCCATCCTTGCCCTTAAACAAAACTTCAAAGGGCACTGCAGGTACTCTGCACTGTTGGAAATCAAAGTGCCTTGTCATTTGCTGACCCTTTGTTAAGGGTCCATTTCTGAAGTAGGTTTGCTTAGTAGAAGAGCCTGTGCTTATATTTCCCAAAGGCAAATTTTCTTGAACAAGTTTGTGGTTCAGGGCACTTGTGCTGGTTTATGACTTGGCTTGGACATAGAAGAATTTTGAGACCACTGATTTCCAGGGCTTCAAGTACAGGAGACACTTTTGAAGGAAACTCTGAGCCCCCTAAAACATGTGTGCACATTTTGCTCCCAGTTGGAGCATAAGGCACCTGACCTAACTGAAGAGGCTACTCAGGCCTGAGTGATGCTGATGGTCTGGCTGAGGACTTGGCACTAGCACGTTTCTCAAGGAATTCTCACTGCTCCATTACATACAAAGTTGTTCCGTTATTTGGAGTTTCTAGAGAGTTGACTCTTCTACAGCACTCTGTATTTTTCTTTATAAACTAGTAAACTTTAGTAATGCTTTCCTGCGTGCACACCCTGTGTGCTGTACATGGCCACCGTACTCCTTATCCTGTCTATTCCTTCTAACCCAGATAAAGAAGAAGTGCAGAGGAAACGACAGAAGCTCATGCCAAACTTCTCTGATGGCTATGGTGGAGGCAGTGGCGCAGGAGGCAGTGGCATGTATGGAGGGGGAGGTGGCGGTGCTGGCTCTGGTAAGGCAGCAGTTTTGGGCGAAGAGGGGAAGGCATTCATCTTTGACAGCAGGGCAGATGTTTATTCTGATTTTTAAAATGTGATGAGGATTTCATCATCTTCTAGGTAGATAAGACCTGACTCTCCTGTGTTTGTACCAGCGTTACTCATTTCAGTCAAGCATCTCCTTGTTTTCTAAATATTTCATCAGCTCCTTTGCCTTCCTACTGGGATATAAGGCTCCTGGTGACTTTTTTTTCTTTTTTTTTTTAATATTCTTCCATGAAGCTTTAAGTCACAGATAACATCTTTGTAGTTGAGGGAGTCTGAGTCAAGAATCGATCACACCTTAGCTTTGTTGCTTCCTGGGGCCTTGAAGGCACTGAAACTCATGAGACAGCTCAGCTAAGTACCATCCTGGGTGCTTAAAATTAAACAGGTTCATAATTATTTCTGCAACCAGGAGTGGAATTTGGCAAACTAACCCTTTTAGTCCAAAGAACTATTAAAAAATTTGAGGTACTATTTAGTAAATTTTCTACTGTGCTCTATCTGTTGAAGCCAGAGCATATCTGAGAGGCGGGATCATAAAAGCATTGCTTTGATTCTTGCAGCAGAGCATTAAAAACTTGTAGATCAGCAGTTGTCATCTGAATCACAATACCTTCGCAACCCTTTTTTTAGAGCAGGGGACAGAGCAGCAGTTTTCAAATTGTTTCATGCGTTGGTAGCAGGACATCTATAGCCTAACATCAGAATATGAATCTGTTGTAATCACAAAGATTCAAAAGCGTAGAGGTAGTTTGTGAAGTCTCAGTTGAGTTTTAGATGAAGCATACTAGTGATACTACATTTGTGTGCTCATATGGATGTTGGGATAGAGAGTGTCACTAGCCAACCATCTAGAATTTCCTTGGGTTTTTGAAGGGGAGGGAGAGGGTTCAGCTGCAGTCCTGAAAATTTATTTTAATCAGATGGAATAAAGCAGAAGGTATGTAGAAAAAAAAAAATTTCAGTTCTTTAGGTTCAGTGTTCTTCCAGATGGTGTTTTCATTGCATTAGGGTGTAATTCTATTAATTTTTAACCTTTTTCCTTTCTTTAGGGTTCAGTTACCCTTCATATGGATACTCTGCTTTTGGAGGGATGCATTTCCACCCTGGCACAACAAAGTCCAATGCTGGAATGAAACATGGTAACAGTAAAAATGTCATACTTCTTTTTCACTAGAATCAGTTTCTTTTCTAGAACCTCTGGCAACAGAGGAGTTTGTGTAGATTATACTGCCCTGCTTCTCTTCATTTCTCTCCAAGTCTACCTTAAAAGCTGTGTGCATGTTCCTTTTTACTAACTCCTGGGCAGCAGTCCTCGAAACCCCTCCGTGCACTTCTGTGTTCAGTGTATGTTTTGAGCAACAGCCCTTTCGCTTACTTGAACATGCTGATTACAGGTGACCCAAGGACTAGACCAGAGAAAAGGTGTCTTCCTTTGTTGCCACAGTCTGGTACTACACGGTAGCCCAAAGAAATAACATGAAAGTCAGTAGAAAAGATTGAGTTAATAATAAGGGCATTCTTGGCTTCCTAAAACGGGGAAGTTGCTTCAAAACTACATGTTGAATACTCTGCAGTTATTTCCAAAGTCTCAGGGATGAATTCGCTGTCAGAAAAATTAAAGTAAATCTGAACAATTCTGCCAGATTTCCTGGGAAAACTTCAGACTTGCGTTCTTGTACCATAAAAAGACAGGTATATCTATTGTTACATATAAAAGTTTATCTTTAAAGCAGAGGCTGTCAAAAATGTAACATCACTTTAGAGCAAGTTACTTTGCTATGACTGTCCATGTGTGTTGGCATCTGTAGTAGTATGATTCATAAGTGTTTAATGATAACCGCTATGTCAAAGTAATTTTTTATATTGAGTTCCGTAGGGTTCTGTAGGCTTTGGTTTTGGCTGGTTGAGCTTTATCACTTACATAAAAAAGCAGCAATATTGGATGCTAATGATACTACTTTCTATTTGAAGGACTATCAAATAGCACAGCTGAACAAGGTGGGAAGAGCAAACACAGTGACAAATGGGACATGAAACACGATGTGAAAATGGAAACTATGGAGGGGAATGAGTGCAGAACCTCTGATGATGAGGAGGAGGAGGATGCCACTTCCTGTCAAACTGAAGTACATGAAGCAGATTGCAGGTGGCAGGGTAAGTGAACAAGTAAATGTATTTAGGGTAGGTCAAACTGCAGTATAGACAAAGCTGCTGTTAAAGGCCTGGAAACTCTATGATGTCTGCTTGCTGTTTTCAGAATCTGATAATGCCTCCTGGAGGAAACAGGAGGGATTCCATTTCCCCAAATCTAAGGTCCCTCCCCATACATAGTTCTGTAGATAATCTTCCACCTTTGTGTTGCCACTGGGCAACTGAGCTTCTGCTTGTGGTGCACGGAGAAGAGATGGCTTAGCCTGCTGGGCACGTTTAACACTGCGTTATAATAAAGCTGTATGAGGAACACTGCAAAGCAGCGAAGCTGCATGGAATACAATTCAGCAGTTAACACAGCTTTTGATACTTGATAGGGTTTCATGGATGAGTAAATGGATGTTGGCGTGATTGTTGCAGTAGTTCTTCCCTGCAATTCTGCTGTTAAATCGCATGCAAAGTAACATTGAAGGTTTGAATTAAAAATGTAAATGTATCTGTTCCCATATGACAAATACACAGTAAAGTAACACTGTTGGGTAGCAAAGTCTTATACATCAAACTGGCGAACAAAAGGGGAGGAAGGCAAGAGTAGTCAGTAGAAATGGTTTAGCAGTAGAGTGGCAAAATATACGAAGACTACAAATTGCCCTTTCACAGACAGTAAGAATTTCTTTTCCTGGATTGTTTTTTAGAAGAGCTGATGGTCACTTTTTTAAAGGATTTGAGTAATCACCCTTCTCATAAAACTAAAAAAACAACAGTTGGACTAGAGAGACGTGGTAGTGGTAGGAATTGAGCAGAAAGGAATTTTTTGTTCTTGGCTTTTACCAAGTGCAGTGGGGTCTGGATCGCTTTTGTTGTTCCCCCCTTGGTCAGGGAGAGGGCACGTTACCTGGTGTGTATCAGCCCTGTGTGACGCTTGCTGTTAACAGCAGTAGAAACTGTATCTTGGGAAACCAAAGTCATGTAGTAGATGGGTTGTAGTTGTAAAAACCCCCACGGTGTAGCTGCTTGTGATCTGAGAAGCAGATGGTGCTCCTGAGAAAAGCTGAAGAACTTGCTCTTTGCAGTTCTGGTTGTGATAAATCCCGTGACTGATTCAGAGAGCAAAATCTTTTGCTGATATGTGACGAAATAATAATGTCCCTTTAGCAGTCGCCAAGAAGGGGCCTGAATTGTTGACCTGGTTTCCGAGTAATGAGCATTGTAGGCAGGTAGTTGAATGTTTCTTTTCTTTATATATTATAATGGTATGAAAAGAGGCAATTTCAAGCTTGAGGTTATATGAAGAATAGACGCAGAAGAACAGGCTGCAGGAAGTGGCTACTGCAGGTTAGAACATTTGAGTATTAGCCTATCTTGGGGTATTTTGAAGGCTATCTTCTCTGTGTGCGTGATATGAGAAACCAGTGAGGTTCAGCATCCATTTTTTTTGACTTTGGAAATGTCTATAATGAGAAAAGACTGAATTGCCTAACATCCTTTACCCTGGATATATATCCTGAACATAACATCCATTTAGTGTTATTATTTAGTGTTAAGGGGTAAATAGCAAATATAAATGCATCAGCCTGGGCATATAGTATAGGAACCACAGTGATGTATTGGCTGGAACAATCAGCTTCATGGATAGCTGAGTAAGTCTTTGGCTTACAGAAATAATGTATTCATGTTCATCGGGGATACGCTTCTAACCCAGTCTAAATGCCTGGTTTTGTGTAGCTGGAAGTCCTGGGTATTTTCTCCCTATGTGTGTTTGAAATGACAAAGTCTGTTTTACTTGTTTGCTGTTAGCATTTCTAACCTTACAAGGTTTTATAGAAACGTGAAACTGTTGAAAGTACAGGCTGGTTTCATATGATACTGCTTTCCAGAATGACGACAGTTGTTTGAAAGTTCATCTGTTTCATTTTTGCAGGTTTCTTGCTGGTATAGAACCACAAAGGTATTGACAGAGCAGATAAAGTGACTTTTTTCCACAGATGAGCTTCTTTCCTCCCCTCTCTCCCTTTTGCCTCCCCACCATGACAGATTCTGCTTTTTGAAATCTCAGTGGTTGTACGTTTTATAAATAAAAAATCAGGATACTACAGATAGCAAGCATTGCAAACACTGGAATGTTTTAAACAGGTGAACAGACTCTCTGTGCTCCTGCTGTATAGCAGGAGAGACTGCATGGTTCAAGTCAGAGAGGGGACACAAAGACCTGCATTTATTCCATAGCTTTTCTGCAAGTTTCTGTCCAATATTTGACAGATCGCTTAGGCTTCCTGTGCCTCAGTTTCCTCAAGTCTGAGCTACTCAGAACTGCATGGGAGGTTAAGTGCTCTATGGACAAGAGTCCTTAGATGCGCCTGGTGTCTAAGCAAATCCAAGTTCGTGCCACTCAAACTAAAGGTAGCTTCCAGAGTTTCACTATTCTCAGGATTCTTGCTGCCTGAATGCTCAGCATGCACCTAGTTTTGTGGTTTTTTTTTCCCCAAGGGACTCATTCTTCCCGCTATCCTTACCCCTCAGGAGTAGTTAGCAGCCTCTCGCTGTGAATCAGCAAGTAATGCTTGGTGGTCGGTGCTTTATTATTTCTTTGGCAGCACAAATGCCTGTCAAAAGAAGGCGGTGTTCCAAGGAAGACAACCAAACTGATGAAGGCAAAACTTTGTGTTGCAGATGGTCTGTTCCTGGAGAAGGCCATGCAGCTTGCAAAGCGTCACTGCAGTGCTCTCTTTGATTATGCTGTAACGGGAGATGTGAAGAGGCTGTTGGCTGTTCAGCGCCATCTCACTGTTGTACAGGATGAAAACGGAGACAAGTAAGTTGGCCTGTACTTACTGGGTTGAAAGTAATGTTTCTGATGGCAGAATGGTGTAGTCAATTTGTTCTGTCCCCTGCTGGTGCCGATCATGAATTGCAGCACTGCTCTAATCAAATAAATATCATTCTCCTTTGTGCTGTTTGGGAGAGGTACAGTTGCTATTTAGATATTTTTGTTGCGTTTGCAGAAAAGTCACTTGCAGGAGAAAGTTCATTGATCCAGTACCTGTCAGAAAGTATTCTGGTCATTGAGGGTGCGTTGAGCTTGTTGTGAGTTTGTTTGCCTTTTTTACTTAAAGTCTTGACGGACCGTGAAGTGCTACGCTTGCATCATGATACACACTTGATGGGGATCCTCAGCTTTGTGCTGAAGGAGAGTGCGCTGCTTTTTATTCCATGCAAGCCCCTAAGTCTTTGTAGGAAGCTTTAAGTTAAAAGTGCACCGGGAGACATAGAAATAATAGCTGAAGGGCCCATGCTGCTTTTCTCCCACTGATAGCAAGCTCTTCCCAGAGGACAGTATTTTGCTCTTGCTCACATCTGTACTGTCCTGTTGTCTTCCAAGAGATTGCACGGATCTGCGTGGCAGACTTGGCTGCTAATATTTGCTTATCAGTCCTTGAATAATGTGAGCTGGAGTAGAAATCCATTTTGTTCCTCTACAGCTGTGCAAATTCTGTGGGACTCAGCTAGTGAAATACAGCGAGGAGCTAATGATGAGTATTTACTTAAAAGCAAATTCTGAGAAAGTGGCTCTGAACACATGCAAAGATAATCTCTTGAATAAGCAAGTGACATTATCGCTCCCTCACTTTTTAGCTGGCAGACTTTGGGCAGGCCCTGTGCAATCGCTTATGTCCCCTGAAATTGCAGCATTTTGTACAGTAGAAGCCATAGAAGCCTTAAGGCGTCTAGCTAGATAGAAAATTAGGAGTGACTGAGACATGCTATCCCATTGTTTGATTACTCTGTGAGAGGCTACCACTTTCGCTGCACTTTCAGTGAAAATAGCTCTCAGATTACCAACAAACAGCATACACTGAGGACTGCAAAATCAGAGATAGCTACTTTACTTGCTTTGCTTTCCAGCTGGCAACCTAATATCTGCTTTGAGGAAAGCAGGAATATGTACGAGGTGGGAGCTAGCAACAAGATCTGCTAGCACTTTGGGCAATACAGCTTCTGTGTTTAAAAAGAAGTGGTGAGTAGAGGAGTATTGAGCAAGTAGGACCTGCGTTTAAATATCAGTAAGGTGCCTCTCAGTCTTGGACTTGCAGGGCATTTCAACAAAGTCAAAATACGTTTCAGAATGATGGTAAATAGTTCTGTTCCTGGATCAAGAAGTACCCGCAGGTATGTGAGGCTCAAGCTCATGTCACCTGTCTGCTGGGATGGATTTTAGTCTGTGAGCATGTAACACATCTAAATTACTCTGCAACCTTTTAACAAAACAAAGGTTTGGTGACTGTCTTCCAGCTCTTGTCCAAGAGCTGGTGGGGGGTCGGGAAGCAAAACTCATAAATCATTTCCCTAATTTTCACTTTAATCATTAAAATTACATGGCAAAAACTATAAAATTTTTGCTTAAGCCTTTAAAGTAATGCTGCTGTCAACAATTTTGCTCATCTTTCATCAAAATAGTACGTAGGGAATGAAAATACCTTTCATGGGACCCTATGTTGTGTTTTATGACTTTAAGACAAAATACACTGATCTGTGATTGGTATATATTAACAGTGGGCATGCAGTAACACCGGCTGTTCCTGCATTTATGCCAGTACTACTGCTCTTCAGAAGCCTGACAGTATTACGGCACTCTGCCTCCGCAGCAGTGCTGAAATGCATTTTTTTATGTAGGACTGTTTAAGAAATGGAATTGACTGCCCTTTTATGGTCTAGTCAGCATGTCTTTACAGCATCACATGTAGCAGCAGGGTAAAATTAAAATACTTGCTACAGGAGAGACAACTAAAGGCAGTAGAAGAGCAAATTTGATTCTGAATTGAGATTCGGAAATAAAATGTCAGCATGATAGAGCATAATGAGAAGCATCTACCAGAGAGCAGAGGAATTCTCTTATAGTAGTGGTGGGGCTGAACAGCAGAGGAGAGCTGAAGGAGAGAAAGTGCCACGGTACTGCTTATCGCAGTGTCCAGAACCAATAAAACAGGCCTTTCGAGGATGAGTTCGGATTAGAAATCACATTTTTTTCCCGTTTAAAATACCTTCTGGTTTTGAGTGCCTTCAGTCTCAATTTCAAGATGACTCTATGCTCTGAAGGGCAAGGAACTTCTTTCGATTTTTCTGATGGAAGTGTAGATCTGAGTATATTCAGGTATTTCTGGAGCAGCATAACAAACACACCACGTGTCGTGTGTTGCTATTGTGTGGCAGCAGCAATATGCTAAAAAGATGAGTTTGGGAGTTGGCCAGCATCTGCTAAGGGAGAGCGTGGCAAGGTATGTTTCAAAACAAAGGGCGTGACTTGGAAATGAAGTCTTGGGGGGAGATCAGGCTTGCTTGGAGAGGGGTGGTGGGATTGACAACCTGCTTTTTTCCTGGTGTCGTTTTGCAAGTACAGCCACTTTGGCTGGTGGTGAAGGACCTGGCCCTGGAGAAGGGCATGAGAAAGGCCGTTGCATTAACCCAGCAGAGCAGAAGTGGTGAAGTGTCTTGCTATGCAGAGTCACTCATGGCCCAAAACAGGTTTATCTTTTGGCGTGACGTCTCTGGCCACTGCTGCAAATCCTGTGGGTGTTAGTCACCGGGCCTGAGTCCTTAGTCGTTTTTCTGTTTGAAAAGGAAGACAAGAAAACCCCACAGATCTGGGGAAAAACCCACAGGAAAATCTGCTTTGATGGCAGAGAGGCCTGTGGAAATTCTGAAGGAAGGTTTTGACAGTAAGAGGTATTCATGTGCTGCAAAATTCAAAGCATGAAAAAAAAACAAAACAGAAAATCTGGGGATTTCAACAAGTTTTGAAACAATTATTTTGTGCTACAGTTTGTATTTATTAGACTAGTAGTTAAGTTACGCTCAGGACTAGCAAAAGCCATCCTGAGTCTGCTTTTGTGACTGAAGGGTCAAACACAGTTACCTTTTGACTAGCTGCTTTTAATGCTGGGATTCATTTTAGGTGCTGATATTTAGTGCTGAAATCATGACCTCTAATAGTCAAGTGTTTATCTCAGAATTCAATCAGATCTGCAACAAAACCTTAAAAATTTTATAATAAATTTGAGAATAGTATGAATTTTTTAATCTGTTTTGTTTGTTTCAGTGTCCTTCATTTAGCAATTATACACCTTCATACTGAGCTGGTGAAAAACCTCTTGGAAGTGATGCCTGATTTGAATTATAATGACATCATTAACATGAGAAACGACCTTTATCAGGTACGCAGTTGTGGTGATCTAAGTGGTGTTGATTGCTCAGCCAGTTAAAAAGAAATTGCACAGCTTACCGCCTGTCTTATTTTTTTTCTATTTGTTGGAATGAGCCCAGATGAGACTGTGATGCAAATGAGTTTAGAAGCACAATGACATATTGTAAGGTGGTGGAGGAGCAAGAGCACGTTTTCACCGCTTTAGTTCATAACTCCCCTTAATGTCAACAGAAACGTCTCCAGGGTTTAATTGTAGCACAGGCCAAAAGTAGGAAATTCTTTGGTTCATGTCTTCATTATTTTGCTTCTCTGTCGTTAAACCAGTGGTATGGATTACAGCGTGCCAACTCTGGGCTCTTTTGACCTTTCTAACATGGGGTAACTCAGGATGATGAGTCAGTTGCTGCATCATCAGTTATCTATAGGCATGTGGAAGCTGTAACAAACTGTGCCCTTCCTATAGCCCTGATGGTATTTGTGCCCATCATACGAACACCAAGAGTTCCCTTTCATTTCTATATTCAAACCAAATTTCTAGATAGCAAAACAAAAAAAAGCCCATCCCCATGTCTTTTACCGAGTAGGAAAAGAATTCCTAACTGCCAGGCACAATTCTGTCCCCTCCACTTCCTCTATGACAGAGTCTGAGCTTTTTGTATTGTAACTCAGGCTTTAAAAAGAGCTGTGGAGACCTGCCTGGAAAAAGAGTCTCTTTTCGACTGTGCACACCATGCGGTTGTCCCAGAGGTAACCAGCTGGACATTACACAGCAGCGCTCTGACATTTGTGTCATTTCTTTTGCTGTGAACAGTGAAGGCAGGTTTTTATTCTACACGGATAGTCCCAGAGGGTTTATTTTGACTTTTTTGTTCTCTTTCACATTTCATTTTTTACGTTTATATAAAGCAAGTTTGAAATGTGGAGGCTGATGAAAGCAAGCAGAAGATCCTGAATTGAATTCAGGAAGCAAAGCTGTGTTCCACACAAGAAATAAATCTCTAACTACCAGGACTTCTACGGCTATTCCTACCTTCTACTTCAGCCTTAAGCCAGTGGTGGGAGGGAGCATAGGCTTGGGTCAGAATTTTCCTTCTGTACAGATATTCTGAAAGCTGAATCGTACATATACCGTATAGATTCAGTAATTAAGTGCAAAATATGTTGACAAATCTATTGACAAACACAAGCTTATTGTACAGAGCTAGAAGGTTTTTTTATAGGTATATATAGAGTATATAATAATATAAGGATGATGATACGGAGATGGAATCTTATGCAATTTTTAGATTAATTTAGCATTGAAAATATGATTTCCCAACCCTTACTGGAGTGCCTACTGTTTAAATACATAAATTTCTGTGTATGTTTTACATGATGCTGTTCACTGGCAAGACTGTCGAGAAGGCAGTATTACAGTCAACCTTTGGAAATACTTGAAACCTCTCAGCCCAAGAGCCTCTCGGTGCTGCAGGTGTCTCTGCACAAAAATGGTGAATGCGCAAATAGCATCAGCTAGATAGACAAGTACTGCGTAAATGCACGGCTGTTCTGCACTTTGACAAATGCACAGAACAGCAGGATTTTCTTCTTTTCTGTGCAGTCATTTTGAGGGATAAGGAATCCTAAGCCTATGGCTGCAAACCTCTTAATCGGGAGCACCATAGTTCAGTGCCAAAGGCAGGTTTAAGCAGGCCCTGCAAAGCGCATGTGCTCCCTCTGTGGCATGACCTTGGCTATAGGGCAGCTAGAAGCAGGGATAGTGTCGGGGGGGGCACAGGGATTAGCTCATTTCCCGGGTCCCTTGCACCGCAATGCTCAAATAGCCAGGTCAGTGCCCTGGCTTATAGAGTAGGCAATATCTTTGTTCCTCCCCAAGTCCAACTGCTGACACTGGCAAGGCAGCTTTTATTTCCAGTAAGTAGAAGCCCTATTTGTCGTATGCAGTAGGGAAAAAACCCAAACAAACGTACAGATAGGCAAGCTTTTCGTTTCGGTTAGCTGTGAAGCAGAGTAACGTCTCCTCACACTGGGAGCTTTTATGGGTTTAAGAGATTTCTGTAGAAGTGATGTAGCCCTTGCTTATCTTCTCATGGCTTGCTTCTGTCACTTCTAGACCCCCTTGCACCTGGCAGTAATCACAAAGCAGGCAGAGGTGGTAGAAGACTTGCTGAAGGCTGGAGCAGATGTCAGCCTTCTGGATCGCCATGGTAATTCTGTCTTACATTTAGCTGCTGCTGAAGGAGACGACAAGATTTTGAGTCTACTCCTCAAGCATAAGAAGATATCTCCGATGGTCAACCTTTCCAATGGTGAAGGTATGGAAAGTCAATGGCTGTATTTCACACTTACCTGCCGGACAAGCACACCTCAATTCCTGCCAGCACAGTGTTTCTACACTGGTAGATACGGACCTTTCCCCATTTTGCATATGCTATCCTTGGCTTTTATGTGCCTGCAGTCACAGATGAGAGAACACAGACACGTAAGTTTTCTGGTTATACAGAACATAAAGATTGGTAATGGCCACGTGACACAGTATGGATTTGAATTTTTGTTACTGTATATTCTCTTTAATCTCACAAAATGTCAAGCACTGTGTCCCCCCTGAGATACCTTATGCAACCTCTGTTTTTTAAAAAATCTCCCCAGAAGAAAATGTTTCCCCCTCCTCTCTAATGAATTAAATCCCCTCAAAGATAATTTTTGGACCAGTGTCAAGTTTCATATCTGGTACTTTGTGACCATACAGAATAAATAGCCTATAAAATAACCACAAAGACAGAATTCTTCCATTTTCCCAGTGGTGCAGGTTATTTGAATTTAGTTCTCCAGCTCCAGTAGATTGTAAAATGTCTGACCCAAAAATGTCATTATGGGATTCAAAAAACTGTGTGAAGTTCCTCAGAGAGAGGGGTTTTTTTGGTTGGTTGGTTTGGGGTTTGGGTTTGTTTGTTTGTTTTTGAAATACAAGGCTTTATTATTCTCTTTCTGAGCTGGTGTAGGTAATCTTGAGGTGATAGGGCAGTGTGCCCTTAACAGGAGGATGATACTAAAATATACCTTTTTTTCCCCAGACGGTTTCTAGAAGAGATATTCAGCAGCAGATGGGGCCAGTGCAGGGCACCTGCTCATTTTCTACCAAGATGCAGATTTTCTTTTTAAGGCTACTCTCCTTTGAGGCAGAGAGATGCTCTAGGCGAGCTCTTTAGTTCCTGCCTCCTGCTCCACCTGGTAATCTGCCAATTTATCCGCATACCCCCCGCCCCGATGGCTTTGACTTGCCATCGGTAACACAACTAGTTCCAATTTACACACAAAGAACATTTTTATGAACACCCCATCTTTTAGTGTAAAAGCAAGCAAAATAAGTCACTTTTTCTCAGATGAGTAAATGAGTAACTCTCATTTTACAATTCTACTAGATGCATCCACTTCAAAACTCATTACTCTGGTGTTTCTGTATTTTTCAAATATTAATGCATGTGATGGATGGCTTTTGGTTTGTGTAGGTCTCGGTGCAATTCACATGGTGGTGATGGCAAATAGCATGTCCTGCCTCAAACAGCTGATTGCTGCTGGAGTTAATGTCAATGCTCAGGAACAAAAATCTGGACGAACTGCATTGCACTTAGCTGTTGAACAAGAGAACATCCCTTTGGCAGGCTGCCTCTTGCTTGAGGTAAGGGCAGAATTTCTTTCTCCCAGGTCTTTTGACTTTACATATTTTAAAAACTCTTGAAAATCCTCAGGTGCTTCAGAGGAACCAGAAGGAAGGGGTTTTTGCTGTTTATCGACTTGATTACTTAAAATGGTATAATGGCAAAGTTATTGCTCCTGTTGCCTGTTATTACTTGTTCAGTATGGCTGGTGAACCTTTTGCCCAAGTTGAGGAATTTACAGTTTGTGACCCTGACCTGAGCTCGTGTGCCATGTTTAATTTGCAGTGAATCCCAGCAGCCAGTGAAACTACTCACGAACAAGTGCATTACTTCATCTGTGTGAAGTGGAACGCGTACGCAGCTGTGCAGAGAGATAGCTGTGTGTATCTAGAAATACTTGTCTCTTGAACACCTTGATCCTAGTGTGCTTAATTCTACACACCCACAGCTGGCTGCGGTGGCTTCCTTTGGTAGCCATGTCCAAATGTGGCACCAGCCTCACTGCTCTCCAGAAGAGCAGCAGGATGGCAGCGTTCTGTGTGCACCAGTTCAGACTGCAAAGGCCGCGGGTCATCAGGTGGCAAAACTATTACATAGGATGCAAAGTGGCTTTTATCTACCTGCCTTATTTGGGTTGGTATGCTGTGCCTCCTGCTGTAACGCTGGAGCACACAACCACCATCTGTTCCTGCAGGCAGACACTACTGGTTACTTTCCAATTCCTTCTTTTCAGACAATGATTAGAGTTTTTATGCAAACAGGCATGGAATGGTGCTTATTTGGAGAGTAGTGATGTTTATGCAGACAAGATCTCTGCAGCTGTATTGTACAGACGAGCAGAATTTTTCTTTTTGTCGTTCAATAAAAACTCAGGGTGACGCAGATGTGGACAGCACGACGTATGATGGGACAACTCCTCTTCACATAGCAGCGGGAAGGGGCTCTACAAAATTAGCAGCGATTCTCAGGGCAGCAGGTATGAAAACAGATATTTGCTGGAAAGTTTTCTTTCACAGTGACAATTCAGGCTAGAAGGCTGGAAGCAGAAAAGAATGTGCTAGTGAACTTGAACAGAAGAAACTGGATGTTAAAAGCATAAAGGTTTGGTTTGACTCAGGAAAGGCCTGCTTTCAGGTGCTGTACTGCTCTTTAGCACCATCTAATGGCTAAAAGAGCAAATTGTGTTAGTCAAGGAAAAAAATCTCTTGAGCACTCCTGAAAGTTTTTTTTTGAGTATTTCTTTTGTAGTTTTTTATAGTTGAAACAGCAGAGACCTCGTTACATGGTTGGGATAAGTGTTGGACTGCTTTAAAAACAAAAAATAGGTCACTGAACCGTGAGCTCGTTAGTGTCTCCTATTTTATATCACTGTAGAAGAGTTAGTTTTCAATACTTATTGGAATGTTTTTTTCAGATGTATTTAGACATGATTTTTCTCCTTGGAAACAGAAATCCAAGCCTTCCATTGCTCTGGCTGTCTGCTTGGCCTTTTAGTAATACCCACACTTTTTCTTGACACTATAAAAAGCAGCACCATGCCATTGTTTCATCACCTCACGCTACGCTCTGTGTGAGCCAAGAATGGGACTGGAAGACAGCTGAGAGTCATAGCTCGCACTTTGAGCCCTAACTCTCTACTTGTCGTTTTTTTCCCCCTCTTTCTAATGAAGCATTATAGAGAGATGTGACAGCATTTAACTTTAGTTGGTTAAAAAAAGTTGTTTGCTGACATAATATAAAATGTAATTTAGCTTAGGTAGCTAAATTAGCTGATTTGCCATTTAGAACTTAGAATACATATTTTAAATATTATTGAAAAGCAACTTGAAGCCTTTTCTTAAGAATTTTTTCGCACACTCATTTTCCAGGTGCAAATCCTCACGTTGAGAACTTTGAGCCGTTGTTTGATCTAGATGATGTGAAAGATGGTGAAAATGACGATGAAGGGATTGTGCCTGGAACGACACCACTGGATATGGCAGCCAACTGTGAGGTATGTGGTCGTGGTGTTTTTTTTTTTAAAATAATGAATGATAGTTCAGCTCTCAGCCAACTAACTCCTTTCACTGCATCCATAGTTACTGGTGACAAGCTACTAATTTGCCATCAAAAACTGAACTAATTCAGCCACAAAAAAAGCCCATTGAATAGCACTGGAAGAAAGCTCCGCTTAACAGACTACCTCTACTGAACAGGAATGACCAGGCACTTCCTGAAGTAGTTGTGCTACAGTCTTCAGTGTGGAAAAGTCTTTAGCTGGTTGGGCAGCTTGTAGTTGAAGGCCCGTATCCAGAGACACTCTCTAGTGGGTGTCTTTGCTGCACGTTCTTCAGAATTGCAGACTTTGTGCATAGGGAAAACACACTTCTGTGTCCTACCCAAACAGTGAGTAGGCTGCATGGTCCATGCTTTAGTAGCTGATTATGTGCAGCTGGTTTGATGTGAGTGTAAGGTACAGGCAGTCAGTGTCTCCAATCGCGTGGAGCTGGGGAGTGGTACTAGCCTTAGGTGAAAATCTAATCCAGGCTTTGTTTTAAATTACTAGTAAGTAAAGTAGGCAGGCACCAAATCCTCACTTAGCCACTGCCACTTACTTACTGCAAAGACTTCCTCTCTATCTTGAAAACAGTTGCCAGATGACATAGCTAAAGGGCAAGGGAGATGAACCACTTAGGCTTTTTCTCTCAAGCTTTGCACAAGTCTTCTACAGTATCTGTAGTCATCCTGGGACAGAAAAAATTGCCCACTAACTTACAGATGGAACTAGGACTTTATACAATACCACTGAGACCTGTCAAGATAACGAACACGAACCAGGCTTCTGCTAAATACTGCCTTTAATGTATTTTCTTAGGTGTATGACATATTAAATGGCAAACCCTACGAGTCAGCAGCAGCTTCGGAGGACTTACTGACACAAGGTAACATCTGTAAAGACTTGACACTATCCCTCTAGTAATGGAGTACTGAAAGTGTACTTGCAGAAGACGTTGCCCTGCAATAGCTTGTAACTGAAATGGGGAGGGAGAAGAGGTACCTTCCCATGCCCCCTGCCGCTCCCCGAATGAACATGATTCTGTTCAGAGGTCGGTCTCAAGAACACAAAGGAGTACATTTTCAATATTACAGCAATACATTAGTAAACACAGGCTTGATGGACACTACAAATATTCTTTAATTTGGCTTTGCTTCTGCTTAGAAATGAACTGGTACGCAATTTGTGGAAATAATAAACTAACATATTTCTCTGTTCCCCAGGACGTTTGAGAGAGCTGAATGAAAGTTCCAAAACGCAGCTTTACAAAGTATTGGAACTGCCTGATCCCAACAAAAACTGGTCCACTCTAGCACAAAAACTGGGTCTTGGTATACTTAATAACGCCTTCAGGTTGAGCCCTTCCCCATCAAAAACTCTGCTAGATAACTATGAGGTAATGTGCCTGTAACAAGTTATTAAGAGCACTCAGAGATGTAGCCAGCCTGGATGATGGTGAGCATCTGGTGTCTTCTCTTTTAGGTTTCTGGTGGTTCAGTTCAAGAGTTGATTGCTGCTTTGAGACAGATGGATCACACAGAAGCCATTGAAATAATTCAGAAAGCACTATCCATCTCACAAAGTCCATCTCACCTGGAGGACAATACAGCAAAAGCTCTTCCATTGTCATCACCACCCACCTTTGCAAATGGAGAGACAGGTAAAATTGACAGCAAAACAGCTTTATTTAAGACTCTCTTCAATTCTATACACACACCTTGGACAGCTGATAGATGGCATAGTTTCTTACACATAATGCCTGAGCCGCTTACCTGTTTCAGAAATATTTTACTGCAGTACGACTTTCTCGTTGTAGACATTTGCTAGGCCTAGAAAAGAGGGGAAAAATGGCCCATTTGAATCAGTAGCCCTGCATTACAGTATTGATGATACTGCCTCCCTTTTCTAAAACCAGCCATCTGCCATTTGCTGACAGTAACTCCATGGATGTACCAGGAATAAGTTTCAAAAGATAGATGGGGCAATGATCTCCCAGGCCTCTTGACTCCGCCCCCCCATCTGGCTGGATAAACAAAAATGTTCTGGGTTTGTAAACTTCTCAGTAAGACTTTGTTATTAAGTTTCTCCTTCCACAATGTGTGGCACACTGAAATGGTCCAGTGTTCTGCAGGCAGAGAAATCGGGGATGGCTTAGGGTACAAGGGATCTCCAGCAGTCATGCTGTCCAACTGCCTCCTCAGAGCAGGGCCAATGTAACATTACGTGAGCTTGCTGTGTCATATCCAGTTGAGTTTTGAGCATCTTCAATGATGGAGGTCCTATGGTTTTGGGCAGGAAAAAAAAACAGAGGTTGGGAGAAGGCAGTTAGGCATCAGGGATGTTCAGTCAGTGCCTGGCCCTGTTAAGTAACAAAAACCTTTCTTTTTTCCTGATGCCCTCTGTTCAAACGCCAGTAGTGCTGCCAGCACCTTAATGGGGAAACTTATGCCCTACCTGAAAATACTGCAGATATTTCTGGAAAGAATGAAGAACCACCCCAGTAATGCCATCCTGGTCTAACATTGCCAGTTTACTCTCTAAGACTGTCTGCTCAGTCATGGAATGAACCTTCATACCTATTCAAAAATGTGCTTATACACATATTGCCTCTTTAGATTAATCTTGAAGGGTAAGAGGGGTTCTGCCGCTTTGAAACATGAATGGACTGTGTCATGTCATTTATTTTGAGATGGTTGTTCAGAAAAATAATGCTGAACTCTAATATGTTTACCACTGTTCTAGTCACACTGAGCCCACATCATACCTTCAGCTCAGATACCGTTCTCTTGCACTCCTTTTGTGGATCTCGCACACGCAACAGCTGCTGACTTGTCGTATTTCAGGCTCCCTTACTAGATGAAAATTGTTCAAGTATTTATATCAAAAATGAACCTGTAAGTGAAACAACATGAGAAAGTTTTAGGAGCTTCATCCCAGAGCTGTATGCTTGCACAGAGTCTAGGAATCCGAGAGCCAGATGAACCTTTTGGCCTGCTACTACCTCACTCAGGCAGAGTCCCGACTAGTGCAGTGACAGCATTAGCGTCAGCAGAGCACCAGGTTTCTCATTCCATCCAAGCTCCAACTGCAGCCAGTCGCTGCCAGCAGTGCGTCAGATCACGCACTTAGGTCAACTGAAAACATTCAGCAGAGCTTTTCCTATATCTAAAGTTTGAGTTACTTTCCTACAGAAGAGCTTTAACACCTACTAGTTTGCATTCCTTAGGGCTTTTCTGAAAGAAACATTACTGAAGCAACACACACAATAATCTATTTCCCTTTTCTCTCTCCCTCAGGTGAGCTTTATCATAGCAAATTTCAAGACAACGAAAGCACGTGTGACAGCGGTGTGGAGACCTCCTTCCGCAAACTGAGCTTCACTTATTCAGACTCTCTGAACAGCAAGTCATCAGTAACACTTAGCAAAATGACCCTGGGCTATGGCCATGAAAGTTCAGTGCAAAGCAATTATATAGCCAACTAGCAATATGCAGTTACAAGAACAAATGTGACATTTAAAATTACATCAGTGTCATCCTGGCCCGAGGGAACTGAATTCACAACCAAAACCGCACTGGAGGAACCACACACAAACCTGAACCAGCGGCAATGTCAGCATGTGACTCCTAGCCCTTGCTTCCTTCCTCAAGTATATGTAATTTTATTCATTTACAAGCCATATACAATAACCAGGGCTCTACTGCTGCATTAATACACAGGACTGGACACTGTGAATGACTGACTGGGCTTTTCTGGTTTGCAAGGATTTTCTTTGACAGATGAAAGTCACTCCTTGTTAATGCTAATACCAACTCACTCAAAAAGAGGTAAGGCACACAGAGCAATCAAAAGATGCAGTTTCTAGCTGTTCTCTTCATAATTTTTGCAGCACAGTTGCATGAAAAAAGCTCATAAAATAGCTGGCAAAGAAAAATTATTACTTTAATCACAATGACAACTCAGAAAAGAATGCTAAAAACAAAAAATCTTGTATATTTCAAATAGTTTATTTAAACTTAACTTTGGTGCCTCTTATTCAAAAAAATTTTCAAGTTTGGCATTTTCCTATTTGTAAATAGGTTTTTTTATATCTGTTTCTTTTTTAAAAAAGAAAGTGCTTTTTAAATGCTTATTTTTATTTTACTTTTATAATAAAAACCCAAAAGAAATCTCTTGTCTATGCTTGCTGCAATTTTTACATATCTTTCAAGTAGAGTTATTGAAGGTTTAGATATTGATACAAGATTATGCTGATTTCCAAGTACTAAAATATATAAAGCATTGCAAGACGCCCATCTTAAAGCTTAAATATCTTTTATGGTGGGAGACCAGGAGCATCAGCTACTGCTGAGCAGCTGTGCTTTGTCAGTGCTTGGGAACCAAAGCCTCTGATTCATGGTCTCTCTTATTTAGTTCTCTTCTGATAATGATGGCAGCAGAGAATCATCTACATTGAAGCCAACTATTCAGCATCTCAGCCAAACTCTGATGAGAGAGTTGTTCTTTGGGCTAGCTAGAAACTCCTCTAATAATTATATTCCTGAACAGTGTTAATTCTGAGAAGGCGAGTGTAACCGTTACAGATGTTGGCCCTACTAAGAATACAGACGCCAGATTTCATGATGAAAGAGCAATGAGCAGCATCGTACCATTGTCGCTTGCTTGTAGCCAGTTTTCTTGGCACAGAGATGTAGACTGACAGTGCTGTTCTTGGCTCAGCTCGGTCTTCAATAATCTGCGTGTCACTCCTGAGAAAATGAATCAAGATAATCCTTAGGAATTGTTACTTACAAAGAACAGTATTTGCTGTAATGGTTTCAAACAATCAGTAATGAAAAAACCCCAAACTTGTGAAAAAATTTTATATCCAGCTGCATTACTACTACGTTAATTACTACCAGAGAAACAAGATACATAACAGTAAAAATGCCATTCTTTCTTTCCATTATGGTATGTATAACCTACATACGCAGTGTCAAAGGCATATAGATTGTTGTTCAATTAACGTACTTGTCCAGTGTTCTCTCTGCATTCCAGCTGTAACAGAAGCAGGTAACGGTTCTTGTATTCTGGGGCTGGAGGAGCTTTTTGAGCCCTAGCAGAGCTGCTGTCAGAGTCAAACACCCCTGCTGCTGCCACAGAATTGGCAGGCCCCTGAGCTGTGCTGGAAGAGAGACTTTCATTAAGGTTTCTACAATCCTGGAGGTCACCAGGGCAAGCTGGCTGTTGACTCACACCTTTTAGCCTTATTTCAGGCCAGCTCTCCTTTTAAACCACCAGAAGACACCTGGGTCTGTATTTCTTTAGGCACTTAATCACCAAATGCTGCATAATAGCTATTCATCAGGTTAGTGATCATGCAATGAACAGCGGGACATCTAGGCCTTGTGTATTCAAGTGCTTTAAATGGCAGTCTGGCAGCTTCTTTCTGTGCAGCATCTCCACTTCAGTCTATTCAACAAAAGAGGCTGTGATCCTGACCCCCACCTCTCTTTGTTTAGAAATAGAAAAATACTAATGTAAAAGTATTTGCATTAACTCAAACAGGAACACTAAATTTTTACAGTTGAGTCACGTAATAGGACAACTTTTCATATCTGCGTTAACCCCTAGCATCTGAAGTATGTGTTGCAGGCATGTCAGAACTGGGTGAGAGTAGGAGGTAGAACACAGCAGCTAGTGTAGGACACACTACAGAAAGTGGCATGACATCTAGTAGGAGGCATTTGTGCCATCTTGTGTAGTTCTCATTTGGCAGAGCAAGCCTACTGGAGAACCTAGTGTTTACCTCAAGCAGCTCCATTAAAAGAAAACGCTAAAACACACAGCTTTGCTCTTTCTGCTTTACCTTCTTTCTTATTAGTAGGTGGTCGTCCTGTACAGGGCATGCTGATTCTTGTACTGATGGCACCAGGGAGAAGGTCAGGCCCCTTGCAGGTGTGAGGATGAAAGCAGCATACACAAGAACCAGGCTTAGCAAGAAAAAGTGTAAGTGATGCAGACAAGTCTTAACAGAAAGGAAGAATACATCAGCTTTAAATCTAACAGGTAACTGTCAAGATATATTTATGTGCCTCATCATCATATCTGCTCACCTCAAACACAATTTATCCTAACACCTCCTTGCCCAGAAAGGAAATGCCAGTCCTATTTCACAATCATGATGGAATAAACTGAAAAACAGTCCTGCAGGAACCCAGGAATTCACTGCCTGAGCGCTCCTGTCTACGCCTGGCTTAGAGAGAGAAACCTCTCTCACTTAAGTGCTAAGAAGAGGGTAGTAATGGTATAACTCACTCTTACATTTTCATTCAGCACAGAAGTTAGCATATAGACCTCGCTACACCTTGTAGCACAGGGTATCGTCCCCGTTCTGTTCCATCCTACCTCTGAGGAAACAGAACTGAGAAGGGTAGTATTCACTAAGTTCTTAAAAATCAGGAATAAGTTGGTTTTTTTTAAGATACATGCATGAACAGAGTTTCTGGAGTTAAGTTTTTTCCATGAGAATTTTTAGGAAAACTTCCCCAGAACGCTATCGAGCTCTTAGTTACTCAGAGCAGGGCATCTCTGCACTGTGGCTGGAAGAACAGAAGTACTGACTAGGCCCACGCCACAGCAGGCTCTTCTAATGCACTGCCTCATACTGCAGGAAGCCTGGTGCGTATTTCCATTAGCAATAAAGGCACTGAGGCTGGAGGTGTGGTCAAAAAGCATCAGCCAACAAAACCTCAAACTGATCCTTAAAAGGTGATTTCATGGGTTTGTCCCTTTAAATGATAGTCACACTTCCTGTCACTCGAAACACTTGCAATATTCAAATGGATCACTATTAAGATAAAAAAGGTTATCTAGTTAAACTTTTTTCCCCTGGAATGTAGAGAGGCATAACCTTTGGGCATCCTCAGTCAAGCTTAGTATTAGATTTTAAATTTAAGTACAGTGAGGATCAAAATCTGAAATAATTCTAAACTTAATCTGCAGTAATAAATGTCAGAAACTTGTGGAATGCGGCAAAAGTTAAGTTGTGACAGCAAAACACTACAGATCTTCTCTACATTTGATGTAAAAAGGATTATTCAGACAGTTAAACTGTCCTTGCTTTTAGATTGGCTGCCACAACTGTAAAAGTTTCTGGTGTCATCTTGAGATGCATTTACAACCTTGGAAATCAATGTGATAGTGGGAGGTTGTAGGCAGTGTTCTGAGAGTTCGTGGACTGCAGGAAGGATAAGAATTTTACCTGCACATAGTGGTGTATGAAGTGTCTTTTCTCTCTCTTCTAGGCAGGTGAAATGCTGATTTCCTATGTTTAAGGACAAAGAGCAACTCTCCTCCCTCCCTCCAACTGACAGGAATGGTGGTCCCTATTTGTTAGCTCAGGGTGCAACGGTCAGTACTCACCCACCGTCCACAACTTTCGGCTCTTCTGGAGCACCCCATCATCTCTCGCAATAGAGCAGTTCTGGAGTAGCTGCCAAAGGTGTGGTCCGAACTTGTGCCGGCTTCAAAAGATTCCTACAGCTACAAGCAAAAAACAGCACAAGTTAATTACCTAGGAGTTGCTTTTCTGTATTCAGGGTTATGAAGCAGTTTGATGCCCCTCTTAGAGTGAGGCTTTAGTATGTACATTATTCAAAGCCTGTAGAGGTTTCTCCATGGACTCATTTAAAAGCAACTGCTATAGAAAGGTTTCAGCCACCCATTTACCCCTGCATTTTCACAATACAGAGGAGCACTAGCAGATCAGTAGACTTCATTACACACTGCAAGGTAAAACACTTGTGACTGACTTAACATCAGTTAACCTGTGGCCTGCAGCAGCACTTGCCAATGTTCCAAGTTGAGTCAGCACACATGTGCTCACACACAGAGTAGTATTATGCCCTCTTGGCTAGCTAATACAACATTTGTCAGAAAGACAGTAACATGCAAGCGCCTCACTTCACTTTCAGATGTGCAATCACCTCAGTATCTTCTTGTCTTCAGCATCCCAGGCAAGAAACTACATTTGGCTACAGTACAAAACAAATCTGTGGCCAGAGCACTTCCAGATGGGTAGCCACAGATGGCTAGATACACAAACCACGTCACCCTATTAAACACTGGGCCTGCTTCTTCATGGAAGCTCCTCCGCTATCCTCAGCTCCTCACCAGTGATCAGGCTGGGCAACCCAACTACAGCTTCCTACCATCCTACCAATACCAACAACTCTTAACAAGATCAAACTTTATACTTTTTCTTTCACAGGAAACCACCCAAGGACTGGCTCACACCATCGGTCCTTTACAGTTGTTGGGAAAGCGAGCTGAATCTTAAACCCTGGTACATCACATAGTAGTTGGTAAGAGAGAATCACAGGGCCAGCGTGCTAGAGTATTACTATCTAGCTTATTTACAACAGGCAAAGGAGCAGTGCCACAACATGAGAAGAGAGATAAGCTGCAATGCTGGCAAAAGCCTGGCAATCACAACATTTGCAAAGACTTATCAGAGACCAGCATTTAAGGTGGTGATTTTTCATCACCATGAAAAAGGATTTAAACTTTCAGCTCCTGCATCTTGACAACAGCACGCTTCCCCACCAGGCCACCAGCTCAACAGACCACACTCTTATTTAGAGCTCCTGTTCTGGATTACCCACCTCCCCACTGGGCCATACAGCCTGGCTTAATCCGCAGGCCAGTGGTTCTAATACACAAGGGTAAAGTCCCTTCTACCACAGCCATTCCCCTCAACAGAATCAACCAGGCCCCCAGCCAGCCACAAAGTAAAAAAGCTATGCAAAGAGCGAGCAATACCGAACCACTTTGCACTCACAGAGCCCATCAAGAAATGCCAAGATCAACTTCCAAAAGCAGTCCCCCAAGAACAGGTCCTGGCAAGCAACCAGACTCACCACTTTGCTCCTGACTAGTCCTCAGGGTGTTGTCTCCCTTCCTGCTGCAGCACATTTCTTTTGCTGTAGTGGTCTAGACCAAAGACACCTCTATTTTGGCTATGATGCACACTAATAATCAAAACTGACATTTACAGCTCTTTACTAACTGACTCTACTTCCTACCGTAAGATGGACTTTCCTCAACGTTGGCAGGGACAAAACCAAGCAATTTTAAGGTTCTGTATTTTTCATTTAAGTTTTGTTTTTCCATCCTAATTAAACTAAATTGGGGCTTTCATTTTGCTATCTTGTAACATCTGACTGGAAAGCAGAGTTATGTAAACCCGATTCTTTGACTGGAACATGTCCTTAAACATTCAAACCACAAGTTCCTGGATGACTCAACTTACCCCTCAGAGGGTAAGAAAGAAAACTGTGATTCTTCACAATGTGAAGGCTGGCTTGTAAGCTACAAAACTGAACTGTCCGCTACTAAGAATAATAAACTCACTGGGCTGTTCCTCTGCACCTGACACTGCTACAGGTCACTGAAGTGGTCTCTGCTACACATTTCGAAAAACAAAAGGGGACTAGTAGAAGTAAAAGAACTGAAGACAGATATGCCTTGAAGGCAGAAAAATTGTCCAGGCCCCAAGGTATGCAAACAGCAGGTAACAACAAAGACTGACAAAGAGCTATGAACACTTACTTAGAGAGGAACTTTAGATATTCACATGCTGCTTTCCTGGAAAAGATGAAGAACTTGGAAAAGCTTCCAAGGAAGTGCTTCCAAATAAGTCTTCCTTGTGTAGCAGAAAGTACCAACAAAGAGGTACCCTCTAAAGCTCAAAATGGTCTCTGCAGGTCCTGGATGGGTTCAGAGCCAAATCTCTGCCAGAGACCAGTTTTAGGACAGCAAATTAGCCAATGCCATACAGCTTTCTTCCAAAACCTGCTCAAGTTCTGTTCCAGGTGGACATTTATCATGGCTCCTGCTGAGCGGAACTTTAACTGCTGCTTCTGCCATCTGTGGAGAACAGCCCACAGGGAGCTTGGAAGCAAACAAAGGCCATCAGCAGAAGCAAACCCAGTGATCCTTTGAACAAAACACTGCAAGGCTGCACCCTGAAGGAATACCGATAAGGCCATTCCCCTCCGCTGTTGCCACCAATAATTTAATGACACTGATGACAGGCACCATGATACTTACCAGATGCTGTTCTCAACGCTCCTTTTGCTGATCCCCAGCTCATCAGATACAACCAGCAATACAGGTGCTGCCAAGTAGCTACACCACCACTCAGATGGCTACAGATGGATGTGACAATAGGAGTGATGGATACTCTGAAGATCTCCTCACTGTTGCATTCCTATCTTTGCCCTGACCTGAGACAAAGGCAGAACAATGTAACCAAGTATAGTACAGTATGCAACGGTAAAAGTACGGAGGGGGAATAACCAAGGTACATGTTACAGCCACTGCTGCACGGGCGAGAGACAAAAATAGCATCTATAAATACATACCTACAACAACACCAGGAAACCAAAAGAACATATTAAGAATATTAAGACAATAATGGAAGTGAACCTCCCCCATTATTGAGCTCAAGCATTTGGCTTAAGCAATTGCTAATCTTTCGTAACAGCACCTAGTGCTGAAATAAAGTTTTCCAGTGAGAAAGAATGGACTTACTCTTTAGGGAGCTTCTGACCTTCAAAAATAACAGTAATTTAAAAATTGTCTGAACCTTTTTATGCCAATCTGGTAAGTACAGAAAGCAAACAGAAAAAAAAAAACACCCACACCCCAAAACATTTTGTAAAAGAATGCTCTTCTGCTCAACAGCTTTGATAGGCATTAGTTGCATAGCCACTTCATCCATTATTGATCACATACCACATCATTTCTTTCATGATTTTGCCTGAAATGCGTGAGAGGCTAAACAAGGTCACAGTTATTCAGATTCATGGTTTATGGCTTCCAGAAATCCAAAAGGTCTTTTCTGTATCTCTGAAACTTCACTCAATATTCTGAGATGCACTAAGAACAAATATCATCAACCTTCAGACAGTCCTCGTGATTGTCTTTGAAATAAGTAATTCTGTCAGAGTTTTATTTATTTAACACTATTAAGTGCCATTTTGAAATTCTATCTAGATGTTGCTGGAAGAGACATTACTACCTCAACGTAAGAGAAAGACATCAACCAACCTGCCCTTTTCCTAATACACTGCAGCAATATTTATTAATCATATCTATTACATATTTTCTCCACTTTTTTTTCACCCTTACCTTATGTTGACTCTAGCTGCTTTGATTCCAAGACACTGAAAAAACTGAAGGATTTTTCTTGTATTGTTGGCCAACGATGCCTCTCAGATAACTTTTAAATTCCTTTATCAAAATGTCTGCATTTTCTAACTGTTAAGTTTTATTCATGACTATCATTTTCCTTATTTATTTTATATAGCTTATAAACATTGGCACATGCATATTTTGATTGCTTTCATATTTTCTTTCAACTAGGACAAGTTTTGAATCAGAAAAGCCCTCCTATGCAGTTGCAGTGAGTTGTCTTGTGACCCAATAAATGAGAATTGCTTACAAATGCTTTATCATTTCCCTCTTATTTTTAAGTTTTTCCTTTTGCTCAGGAGTATGTCAGTTTTGGTTAACACCCAATACAAAAAGTACCAGAGATCACAGAGCATCAGTCAATATGCTCATCTCTTTGCCCATTAAAACTGTGATCACTGCAAAAAAACAACCTCCGGTTCCAAGTTCTCTAACTGACCAATGGAACACACAGCCACTCTCCCCACACCTGCCCCAGACCCCCAGCACCACCAGCAAGCATGACCCACGTGGTGCTTTTACAACAAACATGAACATCACCAGTAGAGCTTGTTCAAACACCTACTGTAAAGCACTGATTCTGCTAGGTGCTTTGCAAGAAAATTAATACTTGCTTGGACTGCAAGAGGATCCTTGTGGAACTCCAGCAAGACCACAACTGCATTTCAAACCACATCTGACAGACGAGTGCAATGTTTAGCAACCTGCCCACAGCACAGCTTAGTGGCCTGGATTTCCTGACAGCCAAACCCTCAAGCTTTCCTTCACAAGCTACAGCAACCCCCCCATGCTGAAGCAAGCTTATTTTCTTCGTATCAAATGCCAATGTGAGATGACATTTCTACAGGATAACATTTTAAAAATAACTTACTCTAAAACAGAATAGAAGGTGAAGCACCATTACTTTGTATGGACTAAGGAGTTCACCATATCTATGTGCCACCATATCTAACTGAGTCAACAGTGTCTTCTACAGGGAACCCACACACAAAGAAGCAAAATCAAGATGTTGAGCTTTTCCTTTGTTGGAAAGGGAGAAGGATCAGTGTGGAGCATAGAGCCACTCATGAGGAATGCCACGAGGTAACAGAACAGCTGCACAGCCATGTCTGAGTGAGAACAGCAGCCCCTGCACTATTCATCTACTAGAGAAAAAGCAGTCACGTGTTAACTCTGTGGTGCTCTCACAGGACCATTTCTTCTCTGTACTGCCTCCTTTCTCTTTTCACCTTTGCTCAACTCTTCTCCCCGTTCCTTTTCCCACAGCCAGGCATATCTTGTACTATGCCACATTATGCAGGATCCCACACAGCAGCAAAAGGTTTGTGACTGCACCTGCAGCTCTCTGGGAATAGTCAAAGATAGATGCAGAGTTCTCAAGGTTATTGCACAGGTTGCATGAAAAGAGAGAAGAAAACAAGCCTCATACTCCATTCCCCTTTTCAGAGGGAGAAAGATCTGCCTGATGTCTGACTGGACAGCCCAAGTTTCATGTCTATTTGGAAGACCACCCTGCAGGAGGCAGGCAGGACACCCGACGGAATGACAGCCACAGATCTGAAAGGGTAGGACTAGTGCTCTCCCAATTTGAGTGTAGATATATCTAAAATTCCAAGTGGGGGCATACCCACGGAGGTGGTCCCAGCTTCATTCCCTGCCCTTCCCCCTTCTCCCCAGCATACCTTGCTGTTATCCCAAGACGAATTTCCACTTACGGCATAGTGAAACTGGAAAAAATAGGGATTTTTACAACCATAGTCTAGAGGTGCATATTTGTGTTGCGTCTTAGTTAGCATGAATTCACAACTCCAATCTTATGTGAACTGGAAAACTCAGACTAGCTCTTTTGCACCAACTCACCCCTCCCATTTTATACATGGGATATATTTTTTCCCGTTACATAAGAAAGCCTTATTTTCAACACAGCACATATATTATATGCAAGCTTTGCTGTTGGTATCTTTACATTGAACCATCAGTTAAAATTCACACATGACAGGAACAGACTGTATGTTCTCCAGTCGGCTCAAATTGTACATCACTTCAACTTTAGTCAAATTCTTCTAATTTTTTTCCTGCTCCTCTTTCACTCCTTATCTAGGAGGAAATGAAGTATCCTCAGACAATGTCCACCAGAGAGGTCAAAGTTAGTGACTTTTCTAGTTCTTCAACACTGGTAGGTTCCCAAGGATAAAACACCACCACCTTCTTCTTTTCAGTCATGAGGAAGCCATTATCACTAAATCTGCCTTTTATACTCCCTACATCCAGCGAAACAAAAGGAGCAACTGCAGTGGTCTGAAGAACAACAATATAAATGTCATCTTGTTGGGATACAGAGGCCTGAAAAAGAAATAAAATAAATCAATAAATAGAAGAAAATATACATGTTAAAGAAGTACCCAGTTACACCCAAACTGTGAAACACCTGCATGTCAGTAAAACAGACTGAACATTTGATGAAAATTTCTATTCTCTTCTGGAACAAAAGCTCAAACCAACAGGCTTCATATGTAAGAATCATGCAAAAACTGTAAATGTTATTAGAGCCTTCCTACAGAATACTACGGATTGTGGAAAAATGCCATGAAGTGTTATCACTCTACCATCTTATGAAAATAACCAAATAAATGGTAATCTGACTTGTATGTAGTACTGGTATCCTTATCCTGTACCTACTGCAGTGAGAGAGATCTGTCCTTTCACCAACATACTTCACTCAACCTATAAATTCACTAAAGTAGCTGGCCTTTCTGATTATGTCAGTAATAGAAATACACAGAAGCAAAAGATGGTAAATAATCACAGTAACACAGGAGGTCACCTCATCTTAATGGAACATGGCAGTGAAGTCCTTACACTACATTTAGAAGGCAGCTATGTTGTGAAATACCAGGACAAGGTTTAATGATTTTGTATTAAGTTCTACCAGTAGTAGAGAGCTCAGAAAGGCTTAAAAGCACAACCAGGATGTTTCATGCAGCACTCTGCATTCACCATCATGAAGTATTATGCTGCATCATTTCCAAATACCAATTAACTACATATAAAAAGCAGACAAATTCTGTTAAGTGCAGAAATCAGAAAAAGATAAACCAACACTATTCATTTTTAAGATAAAGCACACATCCTTTACATTTTGTTTTCTGAAGAAACACTAAAGTCTTCGTGTTTTCTTAAAGAAATGCTATGAAGAGTAGCACTTCAACTAGCAATGTATTTGAAAGTCTAGTTAGTTTATTAGTAACTATGTATAGAAGCACCAGCTTCTTACAAATGAGAATAATTTCACAGCTGCATACTTTCTTAAAAGAACCACTTTGCATTTATCCTTGCTAGCTATCCTTATTAGTGAGTACTGCAGAGACAACACAGCCATGGGAAAAAGGAGTGAAATTTCCCAACAATGCTCTAGTTGCAGAGCTTTTATTATTGATGATGTCATACACATATACCAAAAAAAAAAAAAACCCACACACCCCACACCACAGCATGACTCAGACTCCAGATTGTGCCACCAGCTGAAAAAAAAAAAAAAAAAAACACCACAAAACCAGGCTGATTTCTTTCCTTTGTGTATTCAGGAGGCAAGCCATGCTGCAATGAAAGAGATAAGAGGGGAAAATCTGGCCCATTTTCTTTTTGTAAAGCAATTATGCTGGTCCAGATTCAAAGAGATTAAAGACTCTATTCCCCCCTTGTTTAGTTTAGCTCTAAAGAGAGCAGTTAGCTGCAGTTTAGAAGCCAAATGTGAGGACAGGTCCCCATCCTGCCAATCTGCTGATGAAGACTTTTGCAGTAAGATTTACATGCTAAGAAGTGAGGCTTAACAAAATGTGTGTACACATACACACAGGGCATGCCTGCTCTCTCTATAGCATGCTTGCTAGGAGCAGAAGAAATCTAGGGAAAAAGCAGCAAATGGACTAAATGACAGTGTTATACAACACTGATGCTTTTTGTGCCTATTCAGTAGACTGACACACTTGCCAGATATTAAGAAATAATCACTATTATGCAAATCAGAACCCTTAGCTGGAGGGCAGGGATTGCAGAAGGAGGCAAGGAGCATGCAATATTGCGTGTTAGCAATGGTACACCGATCTGAGAGTTTGAGCACTTCAAGAGGAACTGCACTTCCTCTTGACAATAATGCACTCCACACTCAACCGAACTAGCATCACCTTGCACTAATATACAGTACTGTCTGCAAGCCAAAACACTTGCCATGATGTTATTTGCTATCTAGGGACAAAAAAAATGAAAGGAGCAATGCTGCAGCAGTTAGGTGAAAGACAGTCAAAATAAATGAAATGGAGACTTCATTATTTAAAACAAAACAAAACCCACACACAAAACCAACCCCAAACCTCAAAACCAAAACATCAGTCTTATTTAGATATGCATATAGTAAGGGAGGGGGGTGGTGGGAGGGGGAAATCTTGAAAAAATTTGAAAGAACTTTGAACTCAACATGGAAGCTAGAATTGCAACAACTAAGGAGAACAACGTTCAGTGGAATCAGACACTGCATAGCAAGAATACAACTGCATAGCAAGAATACAACACAAAATACAACACAAAAAAAGTAAGATTAGCAGAACCAAATACAGTAATGTAGCATGACTGATGCTTACACTAAGCTGGGTCTTTTCTAATCCTACAGCATCCTTTAATGACGAAAGGAAGTGATGGTTTGTAGGACTCTGGAGCCCACCTTCTCCCACAAGACAGAAAGTAATAACGCAGCTTTTTCTGGTACAATTTCTGCATCTTTCCAGAAAGCCATTTATGGACTCCTTGTAGATGAGGACAGCACTTTGTGCTTTAACGGTCACACCATCTTTGGCAAGGGTGCACACTGACTCCAAAGAACTCCAGGAGTGGCCAACGACCTAGCAAGCATGTTGAGAGAGCACAAAGCTTAGAAGTTACATCTGTGAAAACAACCCAGCATCCTATGTTTTGGATGGTTTATAGCAAGAAGTGTTCTCCTGACAGTACTAGCTGATTTCCACCTAGCAATTCCACAAAGATTTAAACAATCGTTACAGTATAATAATTATATCATTATATAAACCTAACAGAAATCTGTTTCAAACAGTCTGGATCTGTTGTTCTTGTTTTGTTTTGTCCAGGCTCCTTGAGAGAAGGGGGTTGCAAATTCCCGCCAAGGGAGTGCTGGGAAATGGAATTAGTAATTCTATTTAATTAATTGGACTAATTTGTTGACTCTTCTTCCTCCTCTCCCTGATTAAAAAAAGTCAAACAAAGGACTTTCTTGAGATTGCTCGGTGTTATCTGATGTAACCCAACTGGGTGATCTAGAGCTTCTGCACAAATCACCACTAAACAGAAGCAAGCTGCATCATCTTAAAAGGGATTATGGAAGTTATATTAATACAGTAAAATACATTCCCAGAGAAGGGTGCATGCATAATGCATGTGTGATATGTTAAAAAAAAATTTAAAAAAAAAAGCATGATTTGGAAGGTAGGCACTTAGAGAATCACAGCATTGTATCTCTCCACAAATTTTAGGTTATTTTTGACCTTAACAGGGGTCTGCACTCAGGAACAGATCTTAACTCCTTTCAAAAGTTTTAAGTTCCAAATTTTCTTGAAGTGCAAAATGCAGTATTCATTGGAACTACCCTACTGCCAACGCTTCTCTGATGTTGTCAGACAATCTGAATTTAAGCCTGTTACAATAGCTCAGACCAGAAATAAACAATTTCATTAAGTGCAATCCTACTCTAAGAACTGACTATCCAGAAATGGCAACCATTTTCTATACTATATATTACTACATATAAAGTAACCTTATGAAACTGAAAATCCATGGCAGCCCACCAGACAGAGCAGTGAATTAGGAATTGACATACTCATACCACTAGTTCTGGAATGACTAGCGAGTCATTTCCAGATCTCTAGGGTCTGTTGTTCCATCCTTCCCAGCCTTTTCACGTGGGACACCCTTTACATCAGGAATTGTATCTTGTAGTGCAAAGTAGCCCCTAAATTCATCTGAGATCTGGTTGCCATGTGATCAACAGCAACAAAATGTAATAAATTGAAAAGCAAGACTGTGTTCTACAGGACAAGTCAGCAGCCCAAATACCACCTAAGAAATCTTATCAGTTTCTATAGCGTTATCAGAAAACAGTTAAGGCCTCAATTGTAAAATGGTGACATTGCATAGGTGACCTTTCAGTTGAAGTGCACATAAATATTCTTTTGATATTTCAGAAAATAATCTAGCTCTTTTCCCCGAAGCAGTGTAGTTTGAGTCTGGTAAGCAATGGTACAATCCATTCCCCCCTCCCCACTCCTTAGTCAGTTAATCTAGTTCTAACATCCAGGGAACAGTTTTGTTAAGTATAGTGAGGTACCATTTTTCACACTTGTTCTATTTAACCATAACTCCCTTTAAGATTTCAACAGAATAGTTAATTTCTGGCCTATACCTACAGGGTATAAGCAAGGCAATTAATTCCTTGTTCTGTGAAGCAGCACACGCTACTATAATAAAGGATAGTGTTGCCCCCAAGAAGATTAAAGACAAGAATTGCACCTCCTTGCGTTTGAGCATGGACTTACTGAAGCTTGTCTATACAAAGATGTGCTCATTTCAGCTTCGCACATTTTTGTGGGAGGGACACAGGAGTGGCAAGAGAGGTGTCACTTACCCTCAAAGTCAGCTCGAGGTCCACATGAAGATCTGAGACACCGTAAATGTACAACACACCTTCGTCTTCATAGGCCACAGGCAGCAGTGGTGCAAAGAAGTTTTGGGCAAAATAATGGAGCAGTTTCCACTTACCACCATACTCTGAAAAGGGTTAAAAGAAGAAAGATTCAGATGGAATCCAAGATGGCACACAATCTCTTCCTCTGCTCTTTGGTCTGGCTATGGCAATACAATAACCCCCTCCACCCTTTTTCATCCTGTTTCTATCAGGTGCAGAGAATGACTGAAGTTACTCTTGTTTTTTTCCAGGCAAGGCTCAGCTCTGGAAGGGATTTGATGCTCTTTCAAGCTTTTCTTTGAGCTTCACCAAAAGGTTACATTTTGTATGTGTTGGTCCTATCCTTGCTATGCAATCTTCAGTTAAAGAAAGCCTTAAACACAAGTGACATTAACAAAACTGTCACAGCGTATCACACGTTAAGCAAGCAGCTGGAGCACTTGTGTTGTTGAGAATCCACACAAACACGCTGGCATTGGTGGCATTGCCACAAACTACCACCACTGTAAAGAGATAACAGAGTAACTTTCGGTGCTTATACAAAGTGCTTTCTTCCCCTTTTTCAGTCCTCCTCTTTCAGTTCTTCCTCAGAGGAACATCAATAGCAACGAAGACAAATAACAAGTTCTCAAAACAAAGGCAACTCTGAGTTAGGCAAAAAGATCAAGAGACAACACTTACCTAATGGGAGTTAGTATACATGATGTAGACATATGCCAATCAGTTCACTTTGCCTCTAATGGAAAGCTGTACCTCATTACTTTTAATACTTTGAAAGTCTGACATTAACAAACTGGAAAAGCCATCAAAAGTTGTGTCCTCTCCAAAAAAAGGCAATTTTGCCATATGCAACATTGCCACACAACCATTTTGAAAGAGAAACTGCTTCCATTTCTTTCTCTATTCATTTTCCATCTAGCACCTACTGCCAGCATTGTAACACTGTCTTTGCTCAACCATTATCTAGTCTTTGAAATGGCACTAAAAAGAAGCAGTGAGTCAGCTGCGTCATCTCATAAGGAATGAAAAGTTAGATACCTGTTTCATCCTTGTTTCTGGCTCTTTGTTTTATAAAACAGGTTTAAAGTCCATGGATGCTGAAAAATATTTCCAGTAATATGTTTTTGTTATAACTAACTATCTTCTCTGTGTTTTAGTGCTTGTACAAAGCTCTTAGCACTTTCAAACATCTTATAATTAAGGACTTCATCCAGAGTGATGTAGTCTTTAAAGGGTGTGTTTGTGGCTTTTGGAGGCAGACCTGAACATGCTCTGCCTGCACTCCACATAAACATGAATGAACTTTGTGGAGAGCAAAGTGCATTAGCTCCAGTTTAGCAGCTTGCACATCACCTTGTTTTCAGCAAGTTCACAACCAGTTAGCTTGGAGAACAGACGAGAAAAGCTCGTATCTGCCTGGAAAACTCATACAAGATTGTTGTGGTTTAACCCCAGTCGGTAACCAAGCACAACACAGCTGCTTCCTCACCCTCCTCTGTCCCAGGTGGGATGGAGGAGAGAATTGGCAGGGCAAAAATAAGAAAACTCATGTGTTGAGGCAAGCACTATTTAATGACTGAAATAAAACATTCTAATAATAATAAATTGTAATGAAAAGGAAAGCAACAAAAGAGAGAGGGAAAAAAAAAACACCAGGAAAAACAAATGATGCAACCACTCACCACCCACCAACCAATGCCCAGCCAGTCCCCAAGCAGCTATTGCTGTCCTCCTGGCCAACTCCCCCTAGTTTATATACTGAGCAAAACCATCATATGGTACAGAATATCTCTTTGGCCAGTGGAAAAAAAAAACACCAGGAAAAACAAATGATGCAACCACTCACCACCCACCAACCAATGCCCAGCCAGTCCCCAAGCAGCTATTGCTGTCCTCCTGGCCAACTCCCCCTAGTTTATATACTGAGCAAAACCATCATATGGTACAGAATATCTCTTTGGCCAGTTTGGCTATGCTCCCTCCCAGCTTCTCATGCACTTCCTCACTTGCAGAGCACAGGAAGCTGAAAAGTCCTTGACTTAGTATAAACACTGCTTAGCAACAACTAGAACATCAGTGTGTTACCACATTATTCTCATGCTAAATCCAAAACACAGCACTATACCAGCTACTAGGAGGAAAATTAATTCCATTCCAGACAAAACCAGGACAAAGATTCAACTGCGCTAGGAGACCAGGCTGTTGCCAACAAAACACCACCAGCATTCAAATTAATAGCATTGAAGCAAACCAAAGAGATGAAGTCTGAAAGAAAAATTCAGGAGAAACTGCTGAGTTTCTTCGAAACAGACAGACTGTTGATAAAATGATGAACATACTCAGCATATTGGTGCTGTTCAGTATATGAATGAAGCCACATTCTTTCATTCCAAGGAAAATTCCTGGCAGAAAACATTGGTGGTCTAAAGGTGACAATTCCACCAAAAAAAGGGAGTGCTAACAAATTACTTTTCAGGGTCATGAAACTTGAGAAGATGAGAGATTTGGATTGGGGATGGATTATCTGAAACAGAGTAAACTGTGGGGCAGCATCTGATCTAGACAATAAAGGCAAAAGGTCTTGTATGAGAAATGGGCACTGTGCCTAACCTCAGGCTTTGGGAGAAGTTGAACTCTGAAGCCTTCAGGACTACCCTAACACTCTCAGAAAATTCAATTGTCAGTGCAATAGATGCTGCTCACTGCAGGCCTCAGAGCCCACCACGAGCTCAGACAAGTTACCCATCATGGGCTGAGGTTTTAGTGCCAGCTGACTTGACTTTTTTCCTCATCTTAATGTACATGATGAAAATCTAGGCTTCAACTGTCTTAAATACGAAAATGAATAATGCAATTGAAGTAGAGAATTTTCTATTACTTTAACGTAATATAAAATCTTATTATTACTTTAACGTAATATAAAATCCCCTTTCTTTTCAAATGGGCCCTACCCTCAATTTCTGCTGTGCCTTGATTTCAACCTGGCTACATAACCACATTGCAGTGATTACTGGAGGGAAAGAAAGGTTTGCTACATAGGCAGCAAATACAAAGATCCTCAAGAAACCTGCACAACAGAGAAAACAACTCAGACTAAACTTAGCATTGTACTTCTACAGGGAAAAACAAACAAACAAACAAAAAACCCCAACCAACAAACAAAAGCAAACAAACCACAAGCTTATAAGTTTGTACCATTTCAAAACCCATTCTAGGGTTCAGCTACTACAGCTATTGTTTTGGGATGTTTGAAAACATCACTAGTCTGCTTACCTCAGATCAGCTTTTTAAGGTTGATACTTTTCTTCCCAAAAAATCTTGAGCCATTTTGAAGAACCAAAGCTCAACTGCTGAAGCACTTTCACACAGGAAGGTTCTTCCAAAGATAACTTTTCCAGCAACAGGAACTTGATAATACAATTGTCAAAGTAACTTCAAAGAGCACAGAAAACTGAAGCTCACTGATAAAAACACACCACATTCTTCATCTCACCTGTTGTTTTGATCTCCTTAAGACCAGAGTCACATTTCTTGATTTAAAAATAGGCAAAGTTGCATATAAAATACTTCCCCTACCCCAAAAATGGATGTAAGAAATCTGGAGATCAGGTAGCTATCATGAGAAATCTCTGGGCTTAAACTTTTCTGTTACAGTCATGCATGCCCAAAGGAGAGTCAAAACTTATTTAAAACAGCTGTGGGGTTGTTTTCTCCTGCTCCCCCTGCATTTAAATGAATTCTTAAAGAGATCCAAGTTCCCCAATTTTTTCCTGATAACATGGGGTCTGCATTCTCTGTGGTATCAAACTTTAGAACAGGAAACCAAAATTAGGTTTATAATGACACTCCACTGCCCTTTTCTCTGACTCTTCCCTGAAGCCTTCTACACTGATAGCAGGAGTGAGAACAAACAGTCCTTCCTGGAATGGATTTTAAATTAATCACTTCACACCATTAAATGCAACCTGAGAAAAACGCTGCTAGTTCTTTCCTCACCTCATCTTCACGAATTCAGATCTATTATTCTCTGTAACAGCCTGTGGTTTCAGCTCAGCAGGGGCTCTAAATATTGAGCCTGCAATAAAAGCCGGTTATCTGTTCAAGGGAATCTCATGACAACCAAGTTGGGTACCTCAAGGTGACACTTGTGTGGAAGTGAGGTAAATCACCATATGTAATGCAACACTCTTCCAAAACACACTGCATAAATGCTAAAGCATTCAACAAACAGCTCCACAACCAGGCACTATCAAAACCCAGTTGTGGGAAAAGCTGTTTAGTTCTGAACTGACGGCAGAAATACTATGACAGGAGTTCTGTGCTGTGTTTTCATTCAATCCCAAGCAAACATCTTAAAGGTAAGTTAAAAGGAAAAACATTTGCCACCTTCTTCCCTCCCCACTTCATGAGGAAACACTTCCACTTTGTACAGGAAGTTATGTAAGGCCCTCCATGGCTTGCTGAAATAACAGATTTAAATAAGAAACACTCACTGGTGATGCTACTGTGCCATCTAACAAGATGCAGAAATGTATTTTTGAAGTGCAAATAAAACTAATTTCTCTGAAGTTTGCATAATTTCATCCATTAGCATTTCAAAAATCCCTTTACCACACTGCCTAATTAAATGAATATTAAACCTTTCCTCATTCCACTGAGGGAATAGAACAAAACAAAGGGACAGCTGTATCTCTGCTGAGCTTCTTTTCTGTAAACTAACTTCAACAACATATGAATAATTCAAGTATTTGATATATTTTCTACAATGATGTCAGCTCTGTACTTAAAAAGACATTTATGGTCTCCACGACTACTTCATCTTTCAATACACCTGTCTTTACAAAGAGACATTTTTCCAAGCATCTTTTTTCTCCTGAGGCACCGAAAGCCTAAGAGCATCAGCCATTGCTAGAATCATAAAAATGAACATTGGGATATTCTATTTCCTAACACAAGTCTAGAAGGTCCAGAAAGATGAGCATTACAGTTGGACCCCTGCCTTAACATTTAAATAAAATAGCCTGTTTCTTCTACTGGTTTGTTTTCCTTTGTTGGTTGCAGTTACTTTGCTTGGAAAGATAAAAGAGAGGGGAAAAAAAAAAAAAAAGAACAGAAAGAAAAAGGGAGAGGATCAAATGTCTCCTAGAGAAAGAGGGGGAGGATGGGGTGGGCTGATTTTTTCTAAAGCAAGGCCAAATGGTATTTTGTTCTAAGGACGATTGAAAACTTCATGCTAACTCTTAGCTTTTTCTAGTTCACTCATATTTCTTCACATATCAAATTCTTAAATAAAGACTTTCAAAAACAGAGAACGTGAGAAATAACTAAAATTGAAAGAGAATCTGCCCAAGTTCTATACAGCTGCCATAGAACAGCTTCTCCATTTCAAAATTACTTCTAGACAAAATGTTCAGAACATGAAACACAGTCACTTCCCTCATACCACACATTCTTCCCCTACTTCTAAGTGATTTATCTCTTTGTATGTCCGATTACTCCACTGTTGTGTTCTAAAAGGAAAAATATTTATATATAACATATAAAGAGATATCATGTGCATAAATAGCATATTAGCATAATAATTTAGTCAAAGAGTGATTCACCTCACCTGACACTACGTTAGACACCAAATCTCAGCTAGTCATCTTCTCCTACAAAGAGCTTCTCAGAAGCTATGCTGGGTAAGAGGTGTCATATGAAGTTCTATGAAAATCAAGTTCAGCACGGAAAAGATAAGTCATCCCACTTATTAGACAGCTAAGGACACAATGAATCACACTCTGGAGATAACCAGCTCTCCCTCAGCTGACTACAGATGAAATCTAGATGCCTAGACTTTACATACTAAACCCCATCCTGCTCGGAACAGGATCACAGTTCCGTAGGTTTTTTGACAGTGCACTACTGCCTACTGAAGGGAGAGGTTTTGATCATTTTACCATAGGGGACAGAGGGAACAAAATCAACCAAATTTGTTGGGATTATGGAAAGTATAATTATATATGAGTGCTCCTTCTTACCCTCCTATCCCACTAGCTCCCTCTCTGTCCATTCTCACCCAGGGTGGCTGGGTACATACATGCATACAGCTGAGCCAATAAATACAATCAAGGGGTTTCTAGGACAGGCCCTTTTGGAAACAGAATTTCTTAGAAGTCTCAAATTTTAAATTAATTTACCTTTCTAATTTTAAGAGAATTAAACTTGCAAAAAATGCAAAATTTATCTGGAAAAACCTGGATGATATATCATACACAGTTTCAGGAAGATCCAGTTCTACATAAGAAAAGCAAGGCTAGTTGAAAGTTTACCTCATAAGGGGGCTGTGCCCTCAATCTTAACTATCACTGCTTCCTAACAGGCAGCTTTGTCTGGCTTCAATTATATTATTTCCTTGGAAGAAATGAGAATACCGCTTAAACAAAAAAAATGTCTTTTTAAGAAATTAGGAGTTACATATGATTTTAACTTCTGTAAACTAAACCTTGATAAAACAAGGATAAGAGTTGGTGGCTGCTAAATCTGAACTTAAACAGAAAAACTTCCATAGGAAAAGAACGGCTTTGTTCTTTACCTTCTTCCGCTTTCATAGAGTACTAAGATGATCCTGAAAAACACTTTTCCAGAAAGCATTTTTAAAGGACAGACAGAAATGTATTCAAAGTTTGCAAAGATGCCCAAGACAAAGGATAGAGTCATACTTCTTATTCTGATACTTCAAGATGAGAAAAACGAAAGTTGGTGCTTTTTACCAGACTGTCACAAAACTTACCCAAGGAAGCCCATGAAGGTGCCTGCCAAATGTCATTGAGTTGCCAGTACAGAGCTCCCATTGTGTGTCCTTCTCCCTTGATTATTTCACTTTGACTAAAACGATAGAATTCGGTTTCTGTCTTTACACACTGAGCTTGCATCACCTTGGTCAACACACACATTAAAAAAAAAAAATTATGTATGGTATTTTGTATTTTACTTTCAAAGCATGCGTGTATATTATATAACACAGACTTCACAGCAATGGCACATAACTTTAAACTTGAGCCTTCAGAGTATACACCTGCAGTGCAGTGGGCCTCTGCTTGAAGATCTATTCCTAGCAGCTCCCAACAGCTTTACAAGCAGTATCTTTAGAGAAACTCTGTAGGGGCTACTTCCTGCCTTCCATCCAGTGACGATCACTGGGCAATAGGGTCTTTGAAAGGCAAATGGAAGATAAGGGAAAGAAAAATAAATTTTTTATTTTTTTAAATTAATGTAAATAAAACCCCCCAAGAGCTGCAAAATGACATTATGCTGCACAACCTCCAGTATACACTACCATGATGTCCACATCCCTATACTCAACATATAACACACATTCCCAGTATACAGTCTGTATAAAAATGGTGTAAAAAAAAAAAATTTCAGTCAAAATTGCGCACCAAAAGAGCAACCTTTTTTACCTGCACTCCCACTTCTCTCCTTCCCCACTTTGTTCTTAAAAAACACTTTTCCAAATTTTTCATTGGCCAAGTTCTCAGTAGAAGGCAAAGAACCTGATTTTTTTTTTTCTTCACAAAGCATATTACTAGGCTGGGGAGGTATTAAAAGAAAGTCTCAAAATAAAGGAAAAAGTTTAAAAAAATTAAGGACAACTCACAACTCAACTAAAAGTGTTATCTTTACCTTTTAACCACTAGGGCCAAGTTTACTCTCCTTAACTTTTTTGCTATCCTTATTTTGGTATTCTTAAATTGTTTAACCTGTTCATAATGCCCTGACAGACTTAACCCTGCAGAAACTCTCATAGCTTTTTGAGTCAGGACCTCACTGTGCAAGTTTTACCCCTGTTTTCAATTTCACAGCATCATCTATCCTTGTTCTCCTGTCATCAGTGCCTGAAGTTCTCCAGCTGTTTTGTCTTTATATAAACTTGCTGACAGCAGCTCTCAAACATTAAAAACTTAGTGAATGGGCAGTTATTCCCATAAAGAGCATTTCTGAAATTCTTGGAACACAACAAAAAGTAACAGTACTTTAAGCTTGCCTAATAGCATTAAAATGTTACTTAACATCATTTAAAAGTCACGTAGGAATCACAAAGAAAGAAACAAGCATGAGGTAAACTACTAAGGATGAAGAGCAAAACGTAACCTACTAATCTGAAATAAAAAAGGATTCTGTAAAATATCATCATCTGAGTCCATAACAAAATAAAAGCTACTAATAATCTCATTCATAGAGAACTGCATTCTCTAGAAACAATCTTGTTTCAAAAACTCATGCATTTCTTGTGGCAAAAATCAAATCAGTAAGCCTACAGGGGCCTCCTGAGGAACAAAATATACCCACCCTGGAACAGAGAGTAACAGTATAGCACTAGGAATAATCGTGTCCCAAGGAAGACCAGAACATCCCTTGCATCCCCAGCCAGCTGCAGGAGGGGACAGGGACCAAGGCAGCACACACAGCCAGTCTTTCTCCCAGTTGAGTCAGTTTATAGGAAATTCCCTGAGAAGTATTCCAGCTTATCAAAGGATGACTATGATGAAAATTGGAGGCTCTCTCCAATAAATGAGAGACCAGCTAGTTCCAAATTAAACTACACTCTCCAATGCTTCAGTGGAGAAACTTTCTGTATGACTGAACATTACCTAACAGAATAGGCCCAGTTTTAACTGCTGACAGTATCTAATGGAGCAGGTATTGATGGCTACTTATATTGAAGACATCACTGTTACCTGAGTGAGGTAAATCATATCTTTGAATTTCTTTATGTTATCTGTGCTCTGGGGAAGCTTGAAATGATGCCTGATCTGTTGAAGCATCTGATCGCTCCCGTTTTCATGATGTTGTCGATGGAGAGAAAAATTGCTTGTGTAGGACCAATCCTCAGCGGAGGAAACCTTTTAAAAAACACAAAAGTAAGAGATCAGCATGATCTCAGAATGATCAGGTAGTGGTTAATGGCTCAAAATCCAGATGGAGACCAGTGACAAGTGGTTTTCTTCAGGGGTCTGTAGGGGGACCAGTACTGTTTAGTATCTTCATCAGTAAGACAGACAGTGGGATCGAGCGCACCTTCAGCAAGTTTGCAGACAACACCAAGCTGAGTGGTGCGGTTGACATGCCTGAGGGACAGGATGCCATCCAGAGGGACCTGGCAAACCTTGAGGAATTGGCCCATGTGAACCTCATGAGGTTCAACAAGGCCAAGTGCAAGGTCCTGCACCTGGGTCAGGGCAACTCTCAGTATCAATACAGACTGAAGCATGAAGGGATTGAGAGCAGCCCTGCCAAGAAGGACCTGGGGGTATCAGTGGATGAAAAGCTAGACACGAGCCAGCAATGTACACTCACAGTCCAGAAGGCCAACCATATCCTGGGCTGCATCAGATCAAGGGAGGTGATTCTGCCCCTCTACTCTGCACTCCTGAGACCCCATCTGGAATACTGCATCCAGCTCTGGAGCCCTCAGCACAGGAAAGACATGGACCTGTTGGAGTGGGTCCAGAGGAGGACCACAAAAACGATCAGAGGGATGGAACACCTCTCCTCTGAGGACAGGCTGAGAGGGTTGGGGTTGTTCAGCTTGGAGAAGAGAAGGCTCCAGGGAGACCTTATTGCAGCCTTCCACTACTTGAGAAAGGGGGCTTGATAGGAAAGATGGGGACAGACTTTTTAGCAGGGCCTGTTGCAACAGGACAAGGGGTAATGGTTTTAAACTAAAAGAGGGTAGATTTAGACTTGATATAAGGAAGAAATTTTTCAAAAGGGTGGTGAAACACTGGCACAGGTTGCCCAGAGAGGTTGTAGATGCCCCATCCCTGGAAACATTCAAGGTCAGATTGGACAGGGCAATCTGATCTAGTTGAAGATGTCCTGCTCATTGCAGGGGCGTTGGACTAGGTGACCTTTAAAGGTCTGTTCCAACCCAGACTATTCTATGATTCTATGAAAAGGCAAAAAGTGCATTTAATGACTGACAGGATATTCAGGAAAGGATATCCAGTCGATACAGCCTACTGACATCATCCAAAGCCTTTAAAATTCATAGTATATTTCTATAGTGCCTCATGCAGTCATGCAAGGATTTTGACACCCTTTGCTTATACTCCTTGTAAAAATAAATGAAAACAGACTTTGCTGTTGAACCCAGAAGAATTACTTTTGGCTCAATGGTATTTAACCTATTTGCCCTAAGGTTCAGTTTGGCCAAGGGAACACAGAGGTTTGCTTGCATTCATAGTAAATCAGAAACACCATAGATTAAGATGGAAGAATGTACTCTAGTCAAACACATTTAGGCATAAAAGTTACAGAAGTTAGTAGGGCTATAAATTATAATGTGTATATTTTCAAAACTTGCCTCTGAAAACAAATGATCATGAAACTTTTTTTTTTCTTCACCTAAGGACAACAATGCAGCATAGCTCATACAGTTATTATTGTCAAGCTTTCACTGTAATTACAGTCTCTATAAAATATTTTTATTTAAATTAGTTCCTTTTTAGGCTGGATTTAATAATTTTCATTGTTATTAGTACAGGTGAATGTACTGATTATGTCTCAGATAATATACTTTGCCAGCAAATTGAAAGGAATGTTCTGAACTCCTTTTAGTTGCATGAATGAGTATCAACAGGATATTCATGTCTCTCTGAACAAATGGACAAACTGTATGATATATCTGTGCTCCAACTGGATAAACAGATAGAATGTACAATATCTAAATGCAACAGGAGACAAAACCAAATCCTCTTATATGCAATACATAAAGAAACAAATTATTTAAGTAAAAGAAATTGGTAAAAATTATAAAAATCATTATGTTTTAGAATTCATCACAATTCATTTGTCATGTTTCTTCTGTTTCTAAATGAACACATGTCCTTAGACATAGCAAAAGGAAACAAATGTTAGGCAATCATTACTAAGCTATGTATTAAGTAGAATTACTATTAAAATGAATAGTCTTATAATAGCCTCTCATATAAACTTAGTTCCTCTTGCAACATCAAGGTAAATTATATTGAACACTGAGGATGGAAACAGTCCAGTTTCATCCCCTCCCTCGACACCAGCACACACCTCTATCCCACCTGTGCCATACCACACCAAACAACGTATTATCCCAACTACAGTTCGGACACTGTAGTTTGTTGGGAAGAGACTCATTGCCCTCACTAAATGAGGGCAGAGGGGACCGTAAGGTGTGGAAGCCCAGTCTTACCTTTTCAATTGTACTGAAGGAAGGCCAGGATTGAAATCCATATTCTGAAGCAAAACGAGTTTTAGGATACACTGTCCAGTTCCAGCAGTCACTGCTATAGTCATAAAAGTGAGTGTCACCATAATGGGTATCATAAGGATTCTGGGAGAGCCAACCTTCTTTAACTGACTCCAAGCCATTGGTGGGACTGGATGCAATAAAAGGACGACTTTTATCTTCCTGGGATTTAAAAAAAAACAAAAAACACAACACAACCCTCTCAAAGTGATTGGCTTTTATAATCTGAATATATAGACCACATTTTGGAAAAAACAAGTGGGGGGAGAAGGGAGAACATGCCTTTTCCAAATTTCTGAGTCACCACCTAGGAAACATTCTGCTTTGTGTCCTGACATTCATCATCTTTACTTGCTTAATTAGCTTCTTATTTATGTTCTTGGAGGACAGCTGGGCATGATACTGCTTGCTCTGCTGTTCTAAGGGATTCTCTCCTCACATCAAGAGATTTCTGTCTTTATGTGCTTCTAAATTCTTAATGAAAGCTATTTAAAGTGTGCCTTGTGAAAAATAAACTCAAGGAACATGAATATTTGAGTACTGTGACTTCTTTACGGAAAATCATTACTTTTGCAGTGCTTTTGCAGGAACAAGGCCATGATTTTCCCCTTTCTTATTAAGTAGTCATCTAAATTTAGTCCTAACAAAGCCAAGGTATTCTGCTACTAATGCTTGTATGGTAGCATTGCAGGTTATTGTCATTTTGGCTGGCTCTGCATGTTAAAATAGATTAGACTATAAGAAGGGTTACATTTCAAATTGTTCAGAGCTGCCTTTATAGCCTCAATAGATTTAGTATAATCAATCTTTTAGCAGTACCCTACAAAGTACTGAAGGAATCCTTTTGCAGGTATAACTCATTTAGCATCCTACTTGTAATAAGATAGAGGCCTGAGTTAGTTACCAAGTCACAAGTTACAGTAATTGGCTCCAATACAGCAAGCACTTAGACATGTTCTTCATTTTAAGAAATAGTCCCGTCCCCCATCTATTTTTTTTTGTTGTTGTTGACATGAGTAATCAACCGAAACAACTTACTACAGGATAGCCTGGATTCCCTGAAGTCTCTGGCTCAAACTTCAGAGTCTTTTTAAGTTATACAGTCCAGTACAGCTACTATTTACAGGTTTCCTCAGCTGGCTTGTATTACATGGGACCTGAAATTATTTCACTGTACGGTTCCTTCTGCAGCTCAAAATAGTTATTCAATGGGTTTAAAATAAAAGAGGGTCCATCTTGGACAGGAACAAGTGAACTATAACTAAAAAACAGTATCACCTCACTTTGCTGCACATGCACTGGCCATCCACCTCATGTAGCTAATCACAGAAATACCTAATCACAAGCACACTTTTGCAAACAACTCAGTTCCAAAACACCTAACTGAAGTATAGAAATCTAGAATCAAGATGTTAAGCAGGAATATAAGATACCATTACCATTTAGAATGCATCACTGTCCTCAAGAACAGGATCCTTTTCAGCAGGTTCTTTCAAACCTGGTCTCATTTTTATTGGTTGCGCAACATTTCCAGTAGAAAGGTATTCTAAATTCTCAGACTACAACTACTCTGACAATGGCAGTAGCCTCCAATAACGAGCAATAATACATACTGAGTGCCTGTCTTAGCAAAGGGAAACTTCAGGTCATAAGCCTCATAACATGAAATGTATCTCATCCTGAAAAGGACAGAGATTAGACTAAAATTATCATACCCTGAAGTCAATAAGATCGTACTATACAAGGGATAACTGTGTAGGAAAAGGCCACTAGCATTTCTAGCATTTAACAAAAACTCATACTCTTGTTGAAGCGGGAAGTTCTAACTGGACAAAACTCTTGCAACATTTTGTCTCTTAGCTAACGGGAGTTTAGAATACTCATCCATGTTTCAGGCATTGTTTGTTAATCCCTATACAGTTATGCAACATCAGTTTGGGACTTCTAAATCAATTTCACTCCACATACACACATAAAAGTTAGTTAACAGATGCCATTAAATAATGAAGAACTGCAATACTTCTAGGAGGAGAAATAAAACTACCAAAGCTGTGTGAAATGGGTAGTGCCAAACCACAGTAGACTTCATCATGGATTCCAGGTGCTCCTGGTCTGCATGCTCACAGTTTAAGTTATATCTCAAAGTATTTTATTTTGCCTTCTGTAAAATACCATTAGTCTGTTTTTCAAAACCACACAATATAACGACTACACAGCATGAAGACAATGTTTAGCATAGCTTTTGTTTAACCTGCTTAAGCCAAAAATCTTGTTAAGTTAAATACAGAGAAGGCACACATCATTACGAATTTCTTCAACTGCTATTAAAAGGCCTGAGGGTTGTTAAATCCTTTTTACAGTATCCTTCAACAAAACCAGGATAAAGGAAATCCAATCATCTAGATGAATTAATTAATGGGCAAGTTGATTTTTGTCCACTGCAAGTGAAGGCATTTGTGGAGGTATTAAAAATAGGAAGGAAAAAAGAAGCAAGATCCACTACATTTTCAAGTCTTCCTTTACATATCACAAGGTGTTCAAGATGTTAAGTAATTTTGTGGTTTGTTTTAATTTAAGAATAACCCTTGAGCTTAGAGAGTTGTTTACAAGAGCCTCAAAAGTGCAATTCCTCAATAATGTGCTGTTTTTCATCCCCTTCCTCCCCCTGCCCAATTTTTAAAAAATCCCAAGTTGCTCAAATTGCAAACATTAAAACCTTTTGCCAAGCCATATCCCCCTACAGTTTCTTGAGATCACTTACAGTAAGAACTATTTCTCGGATGTTCTTCACATAAAGCATAACATAATCTTTAATATAGACTTCTCTGTCAGCATAAGGTATGGAGAACCAGTTGCTTGCAATTGCTGCTTCATTTTCATTGTTACCACTCCACAGAATAATTGATGGATGGGATTTTAAACGCCTTACCTGAAATACAACTTACAGTTTCAGAAGTCAAGCAAAATCAATTGTCTTAAAAATAAATTTAAAAAAAAACAAAACACTTTCTTAATACTTGAATTACAAGTCCACATGCATATTACATATGCTGAGCCTACAGTTCCTGTTTTTACCCACACTGTTCAGTATTCCCTCAGCTCTCCACCGGGCTCAAACTTTTATAATGTACACTTAGAGGGGGCAAACTTTTAATATGCATGCTGACATATATCCACCAGATGCACATGTGTACCTCCATCCTCATCTACTCAGCCACATGTGAATGGTAAATTCTCTGCTAAAGCATGTTGCAATCATTAGAGCTCACTCTCAGTGAATGCTCTTAAACATTCTTGAGAAGAGGGCAGTTTGGACATGAGGAAGGCCTGTACCTCTGCTTGACTGACTGCTTCTGCCAGTTAAGTTAAAGAGGATTTAGCCAGGTTACATTTTGTGTCTGCTGCATAAAGGTACACTAACAAACACTCCCAAAAAGCATTTTTTGAAAGCCAACTTATAAAGTCAGTCAATCAAAAATAGGTAATGGAAAATAGAATTTTGACACATGGACAAAATACCTGATGAGAAATTTCTGCTCTTACGGATTCTAAATAATTCTGGTCAGTTGGATATAGCGCACATGCAAACATAAAATCCTGCCAAATCTACAGGGAAAAGAAAAACAAATGAAAAGAAATCTGTTAGCAAATCATTTCACATACTTGAAAAATATATACTTATTTGGATTCACAATCCTTTGTTCCAACTGCAGTTATTTATCTCAAAAAGAATTAAACCAAAATGTTCTATTTGCTATTCTTGGAAAGTATCACCAAAACAATCATATCCTCCACGGAGTTCACTATGTGCATAGTCCACTGTGGTTTTCCTCAATATCAGAGTTACAAAATATTTACCCCTAGGAATCAGATCCTGACAGCCTTCAGTGGAATACTGAGTGCAATATGGCTCAGTAGATGGACTTCAATAAGTGTCAATGGAATAACTGGAACCTGTGCACTGCTCAAACGTGAATGTGAGGCAATCTCCAGCTGAACAGAACAATTTTGTGTTTACTACTTTGCAGGTGTAACACCAAATCCCCATTATTTATTAAAAAGAGACAGTAATTCTTCTGATGTGGTACTGAGCACACTTGACAGATGTTCAAGTCTACTTGTTAACAAAACACTTCCATACCAAATGCACAAACTGATCTTAAAGAGATCATATCTTACCCAGTAAGAGGGGCAGAAACAAACTAGATCCTCTAACGCCACATTGATCTTTCTCTTCAAAGAAAGATCAAGTAGATACCACTAGAGAACAGCAAGCCTTTCAATTCAACAATGAACTCCATTTGTACCTTGAAGAAGAATTACAAGAAAGGGGAAAGGAAGAAGCCCAATGAGATGGGTAAGATTTCTTGTTTTACCTGTTCTGTTTTTCAAATTGCTGTAACTTTGAGACTCCTGATAGTCTATCTCAAATGATAATGGAAAGACCTCTTGAAGGAGCACATTAACCCAAAGGGGTCTGTAGGACACTACACTTTTCTGAACACCACACTACATAAACAACAGAAAGCACCAGACCAGCTCCTCATACAATTGCATTTTCCCTGCAGTGAGAACATGCTTTTCCATGACTCTTCAGCATACATTCCCTAAGAAAACTGAAGATAGGGAACCGGACAGTGTGAGGTAATGGATACATTAATAACTGTTACACTCCTAGCACTGTACAAAAAAAGCAAAGCTATCACTGAAGAACCACTCAGAATCCTTCAGTGACTGTGTAAAGTCAAAACTCGCTATTGAAAGAAACTTTCTCTCATTATTTCCCTCAGTAAGCTTAAGCACAGTTTGACTCCAATGTGCTTTTAAGCCTTTGCAAGACCATCAGAAGAAACAAATGCAAAAGCCTCCAGCACCACCCCCTCCAGAATAAGGGTCTGATTTTCTGCATCTATGTGCTATTTTGGATGCTAAATAAAATCTAAAACAAGCACTGTACACGCACAGATCTAAGTGGCCTACTTAGGTGCCTAGTGTCAAAAATGAAAGAACTGTAAGTGCTCAGAAACCCTGGAAATCAGGGCACTCATTCAGATGACTAAAATAGATGTAACATTTAATTTTTTTCAAGCACACACAGCAGAAAGCAACAAGGTATCAATTTTGTTATGTGCTTTTTATGCTGTAGAGTAAGACTAAACACATTTCTTGGGATTTTAATACCAGATGTAACTTTGCCTTCACTCATCTAGTCACTATTTCATCAAAATTTATTAACATTTGCCTCCAAGCTCATATAATCAAAGGTACTCATCTAGGATTATCAGTGTTTGCAGCAGGTGTTCCCTTTACAGCTGCATTTATACTCAATTATAGCTTGTTCAAAATGGCCCTTCGGATAAGGCCTTCCATGCTTGGCTTCAGGCCAAGTTAAATATTTGTGTTTAAAAAGTTTAAATGAAAAAACATAACTTACCCCAAACCTTTTCAGCTATTGCTATAAAGGAGAAAATACTTCTAAGAGAAATAAAATTGATTTCTGCAGCAGAGAAAAGCGTGGCTACCTTCTTTAGTGTTTTAATAACTCAGAAGTAGCTGAAAGAACAAAACTCAAATACAGCAGGCCTTAAATCCTCATTGAGGTCAGATTGCAAGACCTTTGCTCTCAATCTGGGGCATATACTCAAGCACTTGGATTCTTCAGCA